ATAATCTTGTTGAGCTCCCTTGTGTTATGATAAGAGAGGCCAAGCTGCTCAGCAACCTGGTGGATATGAAATGAATGTCACGATAGCTCTTAGAGTGAATATAAATTACCCCATCAATCCCAAGAAGCTCGGTGAAGGCAGTAGAGCTAGGACCACGCAGCTTCGCCCATCTTGCAATCTCCCAATCAATACGGCTCTTGAATGGATGATACAAGTCTGCATCCGTGTCGCGAGCAACAGTATGGTCACCAAGTTGGTCACTATATGCCTCATAGCTCGTGGTAGTCTTATTCTGCAAAGGTTTCCCCGCACGGCCAGGAAATCGATCAATCCTGACGGAGCTAGATACATTCTGCTCAGCAGCAGCATGCCCCGCAGCATCATAATTGGACAGGTCCGGGGGTCCGTCCATATCCGAAGACATGGGTGACGATGAACGTGAATGATCTGTTGATCTGAAAGAGCTAGAGGAGAAAAATGTGGACGAGGAGGATGAATCAAGACTTGGGTCATAATCGGAATCACTTGATTCCGAGGAGGCTGCGTCACCATGACTGGAGAGGATAGGCCCCGCTTCGTGCTGTCCATCATCTGCGACGGCACCAGTCATATCTACATCCTCACGAGGAGGACCCGGTACATCCTGGTCAGGGTCCAATAACGGCCACATGTCATGCCAATCGCGGCACGCCTTGTTCGCAGTAAGGGCAAGGTGCCTAGCCAGACCATTGACAGTAAACAATTTCCGGCATCCACCACATAGTTCGGACATTGTAGGTCCTTGAGTACGGCGTGTTCGGGAGTGGACAGTGCAAGCAGCAGCTGGAGTGAACACAGTGAACAAAGGGCAAAACGGGGCGGGAGTAAGGGCTGATGAGGGGCAGAGGACAAAGCGGGTGAGGCCAAGGTGTCACCCATGCGCACGATTTGACCCCGAAACATCACCGGTGGGACAATATGACCCTTTCGAGAACAAATCAGCTTCTCAGCACATATCCAGAGAAGAAGAGTCTCACGTTCATGACAAGGCTTTTTGGCGCAGGGCAAGTCGGGAGCACACGAGGAGGTCAAGAAAGCAGAGGCGATGCCCATGCTCTGCGAGTCAAAGAGGGAGGTAACAGAGGATGCTTCCGTAGACGCGAAGGAAGCATGTGAGTTCGTATGCGGTAGCCGGTCGTCGGCGAGCTATATGGGAAGTAATGTTGACTATTCCCGGAATTGAGCTAGGACTACTCTCATCCGGCGCATTGGCCTTGCGCTGCATCTCGGGATGCATATAAGCACCTGTGTGAGAGTCGCTGTGGACGCGCACGAGCAGCTAGTAGAGCATCCAAGGCGCGCTCACGAACCCGCGGACGTGCAGCATGCTGTTGTTATCCTTCCACATCACTTTCGGAGCGGCATGTCGCTCTCGGAGTATTGAGACCATGCGAGCGTCAGCGGCGGCAAAGTCGCTTTCGTCTTCGCCTTCAATGGAGGGATGCCTCGGGGTAGGTAGAGGTGCTTGGCGCTGGAAAGACGGCGATGACGACGACGGGGCCCGATGGTAAGCGCCCTCGTCCGGACCTTGCGCATCACGGGCGACATCGCGAGGTTGCTCTATATGATCTGCAGGTCGTATCAGCCTCGTTTGGGCGTATAGCTCAGGAGAGGAACTCACGTCCTCGAAGACACTGTTCACAAGCGCATACGAGGTGCCGTCCCCGGTCCGCACCACCGCGCGATACGTCTGTCTCTTCTCCGTGATTCGCTTGTTCCGCTCCCTTACGTGCGCTGGCGGATATTGCGACGTCGTATGGTTATCCCCAACCAACATCTTCACACCGGCAGCTCTGTCTTGTGCGTCGACATCTACTTCGGCGCGATGTATCTCTCAACGTTCGCCTTCTCTCTATCGTCGTCCGTCGGCGCATCATTCTTCTGTACGTTCTTCGCGGCCCGTCGAGAGCACCTTGTCCTCGGCACTCTCAACCCGGACGCATTCCGTGTTGTGCTTGCCAAAGAGCTTGTCGAGCGCCTTCGTCTTGGGCGCTGACGACGGTCTCAGCAGGACCCCAGGCTGGACGCATGGCGTCCGTTACGACCGTGGCCGCTGCCACATGGTTGCTGAGTTTGCTGCAGAGTGTAAGCACGAAAATCACTGTTTGACGGATAGTGATGTTCACCTCTTTTCCGCGAATGGGTCGTACAACCGAGGAGCAGAAGAGGACAACAGGCCCGGGGATGCTGTAGGACTCGTCGCCAGGGAATATTTTTGGGACGCGCCGACCGGACGGGTGACGGTGAAGGCGTTTACTGGATGCACGCCCCGCAGTTCTTGGTGTGATCACACACTCGCCATGAAGTGTCAGAGAAGGCTCACGGCGAGGCGATTAGACGAATGAGATCACGCTCGTTGGGGGACAGTTTGCGGAGGACATCCAGACAGCGCGTCACCAAGCTGTCAGGCAGCGGTTCTTGCGATATCATATCACCTGTTGCGTGGTATTAATGAATATCAAACGATTACAAGCCAGGAAGATCGTACTTACGGGCGAGTTGGAACATCTTCCTCCATCCGATCTCATCGCCGTAATCCAGGTCTACCGCCAGAAGCAGCATTTCGCCTAGAATAAATTCCTTTGCGTCTTGCTCATCCTGTTCGTCTTCTTCGATCTCATTGCCCACGGCTCGTCTTTCCGCTAGCATCTGCACGCGCTCGAGAAGATCATTATAGGCGGCCTGGATTTGGAATGCAAATGCGGTAACCACTGGTAGCGCTCCTTCGAGTCGAGCCTCATTCTTCGTCGAAATGCAGTGCTGAGCGAAGACACGGCCCAAGAAAGCTTTCTCCGGGGTGAGCTCACGCCAGTAGTTCTCTATGAGAATCGTTTCGGATCAGCGATATGACTTGAAATTTGAAAAGCACTTCAACTCACCGCTGAATTCCAAGGAATCGAAGACATCGACTCGGGTCGTGAGCACGCTCAGCAACGCGTCCTCGGCGATCGCCCCCTCCACCAAGTCGAACATCTTCAGAAACGCGATGAGGTCCTGCTCGGTCTCGGGCCCCGTTTCCCCACCGCCTCCCTCCTTCTTAACACCATCCTTCTCTCGACCTTCAGATCCAGTATCCCTCACCACGTCTACCTACGTACCGAGCACCCTGGCAGCGGCAGCGCGGACGGAGCCCTCACGGTCGCCAAGCCCATTCCGCACGATCAGCTCACGTTGCTCTATCGTCAGCGCTCTGGGGTCGCAAGGACAACGGGAACGTCCACGTCCACTTCCGCAAGGCGAGCGACGCGGAGAAGGCGTGCGCGATCCGCGGACGGATCTTCATCGAGAAGGTGGGCTCGGTCGTGTTCGACTGCGTGACCAAGTCCAAGTACGGCTCGAGCCCGAGCTCGAACGGCGTGTGAGGGGCTGATAGCAGCGCCGTCGTTGTCGTGTGATGTGGCTTGAGTTTCGAGGATGGTGGAGTACACGACTTTGCGGATAAGCGGATCCGTGTCCCGAGTACGTGCCAGTATTGGGGAGACGTTAGCCGGAGTCAAGGGTAGATTGAGCAAGGCTGCTCGGCGAACATCCCTACGCGAGTGCCTTCAGCATCGGTTAATAGAATGACATCGAGAAGCAGAGACCCACGCAGCAGGGTCGTGCGCCAGAACTTCCACAAGGTCGATCGCCGTTAGCTCCTCGGAATCGTCTAGATCATCGGGCGTTTCCGAACCGCAAAGTTTTGATAGCGCAATCACAGCCTGGACACGGACAGGTGCTTCTTTGTCTTGTATGCGCTGGAATAGGGTGCTGCATAGGGAGATGTAGGAATCTTCACTAAATAAGAGCGCGCATCAGAGTGCTGCCGAGCTCCAGGCATGCGTCTGTACGTACTCGATCTCACCGAGATGGGATACCATCTCAGCAACTACCCGAACCGAGCGATATCGAACGGCCTTGTGGCTTGCATGCAGACGGTGATTCGGAAGCGATCGAAGGCCGAATTGCGACACTGAGCCGTATAGGTAGGGGCGCCTGCTCGTCCGTAATCGCTACGCGACCGTAATCCACCTGTTTGTAGATTAGAGAAGGAAACCACAATAGAGGACACAACGCAAACCTTGTACCCCTCCGCCGAGACTACGTTGAACACGTCCTGCGGCGTCATGATGTCGTCTGCCTTGAACACGTTCTCCCAGATTGGCACGATCGCAAAAACACTCGGCCGCGCCTCAACCTCGTCGTGCAGTAGGATCCGGCCATTGCCCGCCTTCACCTCTCGCAGTACGTCCTGCTTCAGACTCTCTTCCCACCATCGCCGTCGTTACGCCTGTCACTCTACATGAACTTCTATCAGAACGAAGACGTTCAGATGGATAACTTGGGGGCGTACTCAGCGTTTTCGGGCGGCTTCTCGATCAAACGCAGGACATGCGGTCGACCCTCAACGTAGATGACAGCGAGTCAACGCAGCTTTCAACCTACAACACTGAATGAGCGACACATTCCTGTTGTGCGGAGTCAATCCGCTTACCCCTGAACGGTCGGCATACCGGTGCCGCAGACCACCTTCGCCTCGTCCGAGAAGCTGGGCATGAAGTCCGCCCGGTCAGACGGTGAAGACGAACGACTGCGTTGTGGTGGCCAGTGGCGAGTTTAGCGCCCTCGAATGCCACTGATAACCAGGCATGCTTATTTGCGCCTCATCACTCGCGATCTCGCCGATCATCGCAGTGCTACACCGGATTGTGCCTCCAGATACGCGCATCCATGCCGAGGGCCGGGAATGCTATTTGGGACGGCACTGAATACAGGGCGAGAGTGCGGAACCTGCAAGAGGGTTGCCATGGGCCGAGGCGCTGCCGCCGTAGTAGTCGCTGTGTGCAGTGATGGACGGGTGGAGGGGATGGATGAAGCTTGAATAGCTGTGGGAGCCGACACAGGTGTTCAGGGCTCAATACACCTCGTTGGCGATGACGTTCCGGTAATTAAGGTCTAAGTTGGCTGGATGAGCACACGAATGATCGGGATCTAATTTAGACCGGAAAAGAGGACTCACATGGTAAAAAACCATGCTGACTGACTCCGGAGAAACGTGCAGTTTTGTTGAATCGTCTTGAAACGTCGAGGAAACTGCCGCTGATTCGTGTTTGTAGGATGTCGCGTCAGCTATGTTCACTGGAGCGACAACGCGGTTAGTGTGCTCCTCCACTCTATCCCCGTGAGTCCCTTCTTCTGCGTTATCGGATATCATTTGCGGCTCGCGGCCTGAGGAGTCGTTGTTTGTGAGTGAGCTAAAGATTGTGCGCCGGTGAGAACCCATACCTTCTGACCGGAGTTCGCATCCTAGATGAAACCCGCATGGTTCTTGGAGTATTGAGTACTCGCCATGAGGTGGAATCGAACGTTCATGGCATGGCGAATAAGGCGATCGTGGTGTGCACGAAGGTGATGGAGTGAAGTTGAATGCACCGCGGTAACACGATTCCCACACGCCTGTCGTTCTTGTTCAACCACATCAGGAAAAACCCCATCTGGCAATTTTCTACATATATACATACATGGTTCATAATATGACCACATTCTGTCCAAATTGTCACAAAAAAGCCAAAAAATCCCATAAAACTGTCAAATCATGACAGATGACAGACCAATTAGAGGACTGTCTTATAGGTACAAGGGGGCTTAGAACTAATGACATAGAAAATGTGGTCGCAGTGTCAATAACATTAGCACTGGTCCATGTCCAAGGGGCTTAGAGAACAAATGTACATATAAGTGTTGGAGGTGGGGATTGATACTTGACTGTTGACACCTCACCCTGGCCTGGCCCCATCTGTAATATCATATCATCCCATATAGTCCCAGCTTATATACTGCATGTACATCTGAAAGACAGAGATGTCCATAGCCAACATCATGGTTATGAACCCTACAGATGACTGATGGCAAGGAGACACTGTTGTGGTGCTTTTATCTCAGGTATAGTTAACTTGTTTCATGTCCCATTCAGCTATCAATAACAATTTGATGAGCTCAAATATATCTGTATGTACTCTCGGACTGCTAGGACATAGCGACACATGTACGGTAGCCAACGCGGACTTAGAGATTCAACGCGAATCCAAATGTCACGTGACCCGTCTCAGCCCACCGCGCTGGCAAGTGCGCACAACTCAGCGCTGTCAAGTACGCCCAGCGCCGCGCTTGCAAGTGCGCGCATCAACGCGCAAGTCCCCGCGCTCGCCGTCACAAACCGCCCCCAGCACTCGAAGTGCCCGCCCACCGCCCTCAACTTTCGCCTCTGCCGTTTGCCCGGCCCCACGCGCGAGCCGCCAACGCGGTCGCGCTCGGCGCAGCTTCCACCCCGCCCCTGCCGTCTGCCCTTCCTTCCCCGAGCGCGAGCCGCCAATGCGGTCGCGCTCGGCGCCGATTCCGCTGCCCGCCCGCCTTCCGCCCAGCGCCAGCCGCGAGCAGCCAATGCGGTTGGGCTCGGCGCTGCTTCCACCCCCGCCCCTGCCGTCTGCCCATTCCCGAGCGCGAGCCGCCAACGCGGTCGCGCTCGGCGCAGCTTCCACCCCCGCCCCTGCCATTTGCCCTTCCCCGAGTGCGAGCCGTCAACGCGGTCGCGCTCAGCCTAGCTTCTACCCGCCATCTCCACCAGTCGCCTCCCCGCCCAGCCCCGAGCACGAGCCGCCAACGCGGTCGCGCTCGGCGTCGCGTCACCTCCCTGCCCCTCTCGCTCGCCCAGCGCGAAGCGACTGCCTTCGCTCGGTGTCACCTCCCCCTCGCTCTCTTTCGCCCAACGCCAAGCGTGAGCCGCCAACGCGGTCGCGCTTGGCGGCTTCCTCCCCCTCTCACCTGTCGCCCAGCCCTGAGCGTGAGCCGCCAATGCGGTCGCGCTCGGCGTCTCCGCTGCTTCAACGCGCCCACCTCCACGGCGCCAATACACTCGACGTCTTCTGCGCCAACGCGCTCGACCCGTCTGCGCCAACGCGCTAACCCCTGGCTCTGCGAACGTGCACGCTCTTTGCGCAGCAGGTCCTGAGCGAATACAGGCTCTGCCCGGTCGCTCTGTTCGCTGCAGCTCTGCCCCCACACCCACCGACCTCGCCGCGTGACAGGTCCAAGCGGCCGGTCCCGCCCCCGAAGGACGTCCCCGAGCGTGCCCGAGTGCCGCCCACAGACGAGCACGATCGCCCATGCTCTCCGTCCAGGCACGTCACCTCTCCACCCCGCAACTCGCCATGCCCTCCGCCGACGTCGCCGAATTCTCGCGATGGCTCAAGATCAGCTCGGCGGCCTTGCCCCGCGCCTCGTCCCAGGCGACCGCGGACCCGTCCTCGCTCTCCTCGCGCAAGCTCTAGAACCCGCACGCGGACCCACCCCCCATGCGACACGCCGAGCCCGAGGCGATCTCGGACGCCACCTCGAGCTCGTATGCCCCGTGCCATCACCACCGGCGCGTCTCCCAAACAAGCGGGTCTCGAATGCGGAGCTCTTGGCGCGTCTCACCCGCTCTTCGACCCGCGCAAGGACAACCCCGTTCGATTGACCGTGTTCACGCCACTCTAGGCAACTTGGACCTGCTCTACTCTTGCCCACTCGATGGCATCCCGATACCCCGTGCTTGGTGGGTGCACTGCAGCCGCGCACCGCGGTTGGCTCAGCATTAACCTAGTGCTTGTCGTGATGTATTTGTTTGACATACCTCGATGCCATCCGTTCTGGCTTCGTGGACTAACCAGATTGAATCGTATATATACATACACATGTAATGGGTAGATGTAATTACCAATGACCAAACTCTGAAGACATCTAACAAGATGTGACATACAGTCTAGAGTTTATGGTCATATTTGAGCCACAATATATCATATTTGAGAGCCTATGGATGTTACAGATCACCAAAATATGCCCAAAAAAGTGAATAAAAATCCACATATTTGGGCACATTTCACCAAAAATGTGACAAATGCTCAGGGGGACCTTCCATATTTCCTACTTTTTGGACTTCTGTGCTGGTATGTGCTGTTATATACTGTAAAGGGTCCCAACATAGCTTTATCTACATGGATAGTCTTGTAATTACTTGACATCTCTGCCCTTTATGATACTAATTCACAGAGGGGGTGTTTCCTGATGGCCACGCTCTCGCTGGCCGCTTCCCACATGGATCCAGTCTATATTATTGGACCTCTGCGAGAAGATAACATGAAGGTGATCGGTAATCTGCTCTCCAGTCGCTCTACCGACCGCCTGCCTTCAAGTCGCTGTCGCCCACCCCCGGTATCAACTTTACACATGGCACGGCGTAATGCGGGCGGCTTCGGCGAGGATATCGGTGAAGATGACGAAGACGAGTATGACGAGGGTCGTGCCATAGACGAGGAGGCTGCATGGCTTGCGCAGCAAGCGGCGAAAAAGAAGTCGTCGACAGAGAAGGCAAAAGCTACCAAAGCGAGGAAGAAGGAGGAGGAACGCCTCAGGGGCGAAAAGCTATTGCAAGAAAGTGGTGTGTTAATCTTAGGCTTGGTCTCTATTGACTCGTTGACTTATTATCATAGGTGCACCACGCGCATCGAAGGAGAAGGCCAAACAGAATGCCAGTACGTACCTTATACCTATATTGATCGAGCTTCCCAGCTAATGTAACTGGCGGCAGTCTGGAATACTATAAAGGGTCGCAGTTCAACAAGGGGTGGAGGAACTTCGGGTAAAGAACGCAATGACGACGAACAAGGTATGAACTCGTAGTCTAGTATTCTTGCGGTGGGCTTCTACTCACGCTTGCTCATGCTAGCACGCACCGTCCGTACTACTAGGGCAGCATCACAAGCAAAGAAGTCGACAAAGGGCAAAGAGCCGGCGAAGAACGCTAAGAGACGAGTTAACGAAGACCGTGAGTCGCATACCACGATTGAATTGATTTTCACTCAATGTGTACGTCTTGTAGTCTATCTCCCACCGCCAATGGACTCCGATGATGATGCGCCACCATCAACCAAACGGCGTTCAGGAAAATCCAAGGTCAACAACGAGGATGACCAGAGATACATGGACGGTGATGACGGCTCTCATGAGTCCAGTGACGACGTGGAGGAGGATGACCCTGAACTCCATGTGGCAAAACCGGAGGCGATCAAGAAAAGACTTCAGAGAGAGGTACCATTTTTACTTGTCTGTTTCCGCACACATGCTGACCTCGACAGCGCACATATTTCAGAGATCCGACGCCTGACGAGGATGAGCAGGACCCATTTCCGGGCTCGAAGACACGCAGCAATGTTCGGTTGGCGCAGTCTCAGCCAGCAAGTCGTCAACGATCGCCGTCACTTGAGTCCTCGACATCGCAATCCCCACGTAGAGCTCGCACTGAAGAACCGGCAGATTCACGTAATGTACGGACGATGCATGCCCCATGATCGCACACTGATTATTCATAGGAGAATATGACCAACGAAACCGTCCGACCTACCGTCAATGTAGGCCCGCAACACAAGACTACAGCCGCGTTATCTCGTCGCTCTCGCGAAGGATCTGTGGAATACAGTACACGCTCATCACGCAGGTGAATCGCCGTGTTTGATTTGATGCATTTCTTTACCTGAACCACATGCCTGGCCAATCGCCAAATCTGAAACTCTGGTCGCAAGGGCACGCAGTGGGGCATGGCCGGTACAATCCCAGCCGTCAAGTCGTCACCGATCACCGTCACTTGCACCCTCAAGTTCGCACACCTCGCATAGAGCTCGCACCGAGGAACTGACCGGACCACGTTATGTATGGTGAACGCATGCCTTGAAGATGAACACTGATCGTTTGCAGGACAATGTAACCCATGACTCTGTGCGGCCCCCCATCAATGTAGGACCATCGCGCAAGGCCCCAACCGGGTCATCTCGTCAATTTCGCGAAGGGTCTCTGGAACACGATACAAGTTCATTACCCAGGTGAGTCGTGTACTTCTTCTGAGAATATATGAGGATACATGATACTAACCACATGTCAGACCACTGCCAATACAAGACCGACAAATAAGTACCGGCAGCAGGGCTACAGCTCCACCGACATCTGATTCCGAGTCGGAACCCGGATCGCGGCCGTCACAGCAGAGGAAGAAGGGGAAGCGGTATCACGCTGACGATGACATGGACGTAGACGAGTCGGACGGACAGCATATCAGGAAAGTGCCGTCGAAACGGCCAAACCTACATCTGGGTGCTACTCGAACTAACGTGAGACCACGTTCATATCTATACGGACTGACTAACCTCAATCGTAGGATTGGGAGGTTCCTCAAGGTCGCAGACGCAAAGTACCTCGAATGGAATCTCCGCAAAGGCCCTCATCGCGGACCTCCTCTTCCCAGAACAGGGCAAAGAAGCGGGCACCCTCGAGCCGTCATCGTCGCGATGATTCGGATGGAGATGTCACTCCGCCTGAGGGTTCCAACACCGACGACACCACCGACGGCGACTCATCGTGGCCCCAGTACACCTGGCTCGTGAAGCCTCCGCGTGGGAAGCGATATGGGCTTGATGACCAGAACGAGCGGATGCGTGCTGTTATCCAGGAAGCTCTCAATAGCATCCATACTGACCTATGTTTCGTAAATGCTTTCCCCAGCTTCGCCGATAAGACGAGAATGGTGAGCAAGGCTCTCGTAACAGCTGCGCAGAAGCTAGGCTATCGCAGCATACGTGGGCGACTCGAGGCACCTGGTCAACGGCAGTGGTTCAAGAATCTGAGTGGGATCGTCCGTATTCTCCCGCATGCAGGTGTTCGGAGGCTGACATAGTCCTAGGTCTTCAACCGCATTAGTACCTTTCGTACGAAGGTTAAGGCAGCGGCAGTCCTTCACTTCACGTCATATCTTGGAATCAAGCCACGAGACAAAGCAGCCGTCGCCAAGTGGATTGCGGACGATTCTTTCATCTATCCGGGCAGCGTTCTCGTATGGTTCATTTGTTTATGCCTTACTGATACTGACGGTAAAACTAGGATGACACTCTGGCGCCTAAGACCGAAGGGTACCGCTCGCCAGTCATAAAGGCTGTGATCGCGGAGGCGTTCTTCTCAAAGGGCAATGCTATTGGTAGCCAGAACCCAGAGATGTTTCCGTCAAGCCGTACAGATCTTCCTGATGAGAAGGAGATCCCTGCTCCCATGGTCGCATTGGCAGCAACAGCGGTATTCTCTGGTTAACAGAAGGTTGAATCCACTCTCATGTCCCTTTACAGATTCTCTGTGCCTTGGAGTCGTACAAAGAAGGATATTTCGAGAAATGCCCCTTCACAGCGAGCAAGTATAAATCTGCTTATGAATCCCACTTGGGGTCATTGCTGCACCTCAGGAAGAACGGCCTTGCGGCATATCATTTCTTGATGCACGAGCTGTACAACGATGCGCAGTGAGTGCTGTGCCGACATCTTTTGGCATATGCTGATGTTCTGGTAGGTCAGAGGCACAACATATCGTAGATGTAGAGTCAAGGCTGGATGTTACCAATATGCGTACTAGTTAGGCACACTATGTACTGAGCTCGGAACCATAACACGGTGTTCTGAATGTATAGCCATGATATGCCTAGGGAAATGTTGACACAAATACATTCAAGTGGGAATAGTTCTTGCTAAATGGAGCAAATTTGCGCTAGTATACACTGATATATCTACCGTCAAATGTAGCATAGCCTCAGGTAATGCTACAAATGCTGACATAGAGGAGCAAATGGGACAAATATGCCGGCTTCCACCAGGGGACTTAATTAATGATGCAAAAAATGCAAATATAGTCAGTTTGTGTAATCTGTACAGAATGGTCGAAATAGGTAAATGATGCACACAATGGACAAGATAGAGCATCATGTCAACAATTTTTTAGGAGGTACTTTTCCTGATGTGGATCGTGTCCTGGCTTCCGACCGATTTCCAACCTTCGAGAACCTCGTGGTGCGCCGCGGCAACAGCACGTTTTGCATGTCTCGGTTCCGGCATGATGGGGAGGTTGGTGACTTGGGTGCGCAGGTTCGGGTGCACCTGCCGATGCTCGCTGAACGGTTCAGGCAATGTCGCACACATAAAAGCAGAGAGAGGTTTCCGGAGTGAATAGACGACAGACCTCTGTACCTAAGTCATACCTGAGTGGAACATAGACCTCGTACAGCCCATTTGATTCAGTTCTACGTGCTGTGTGTGATCATCGTCCTTTGTGCCCTCCACACGTCCCTCCACCCTCCCCATCTCGCGATCCAATCCCAAGTAGACCGAGAACCGGTGAGCGGTTCGATCTCCAAGTCCGGATCGTCTTCGTCTACTCTATTGTCGTCGAGGACCGGGCAGTGCATGGACTGCTTATGGACGATGGCTCCATCCTGCATTGTCCAGACGATGTCATATCTAGTGGTGACAAAATAGCGTTAACCTCCAAGGTCACCTCCGTGCGAAGGAAGAAAAGAATTCACCGTTCATCCGGATAGTGCTTCCTCGCGTTCTTCGCTCCAAGAGCGGTCGCAATGACGTTCAAATCGCGATGTTTCTATATAATCGATTGTCAATCTCGATAAATAGACGAGTAAGACGATGCGTACCCAGGATATGAGGATGTCTGCTGAAGACTTCTGCGCGAAGGCCTCGACCTTGGACACGATGCAGTCAGCATCGGCGTCCGCGCTGCACAAGACTCGGTAAGCTTGCCGTTGCTCGGTACGAAGCAGAACGAGGAACAGAACGAGGGCGCTGACTCACCAGTCGATGTCGATCTCCAGGCCCAGGTCCTGCGCCAATGGAGCGACCGTCGCGTACGTCCTCTCCGTCTCTTTCGGCAGCTCACGCGGAGCGGCAAAGATGAGACCGATGTCGTACCCCGAGTCCTTTCCAAAGAACTACCCCCGTTTCTCGTCAGTCTCCGTCAACTTGCTGTAGCCAGCGACGAAGGCGAGTCAACTGACCGTCCGGAGGTGCTGAGCTCGCTGACGTCCCTTGTCGTTCAACCCGCTCGGGAACTTGCCCTTTCCGCCACGCCCAGGTCCCCAAGGCGGTCCCCACCGACTTTCTCGTTCGGGCTCTGTTTCCGTCCCAGGCAGTGGATCCTGGCGACCCTTCTCTCCGTGCCGGATGAGTATAACCCGGTTGGAGAACGTCGGGGCTTTGATGACGGGGGTGGTAGCGGAGCCGCTGGAGGCCCACAACGCGAGAGCAAGTAGCACCGAGAGGGAGCTGAGCGAGATGGAGAGGGCGAGTCCGTGCTTCATCACGAACGACAAGGGAAACGGAAGGGAAAAATGTGAACAGGGATGAGACACCGGCGCACCTTATGGTCGAAGCGCGTTCCGTATTATATGTGGCGGCTCGATCGAACGACCCGGCCGTTATCTGATAAAATTATGGCGCATCTTCGGCCGGATTGGGTTAGAAAGGGGCGGTCGGGCTGCGTGGGGCGCCCGCAGAACGGAGGCCGGGATCTAATTATAGTCAGATGATCCAAGTCTGACCGTGAGAAGAGGGCTCTTACTGTGAGAAGAACATCGTGGTTAAGTATTCGTGTTCGCAACGTCGCCAGCAGACACTGTTGTCCCTTGTGCGATCAACCTCGGCCCGTCTATGGCAGAACACATCCGGGGTATCCTCGAACTACAGTAGACGCGGTGCGTACGAAGAACAACTGAACGTGGTTTGAGTGGGTTATTATATTCGTCACGCGAGCTTTGGGCCCAGGTGGCAGTCATATTGTGCCCTCCATCGGTTTGCTATATGGCCCTTTGTCCATTGCGTCTCATCTGGATCTCTTACTATACAGTCTATTACGCCCAATGGAACCGACCTTTTTTTACCTCGCAAGGTCGGAGAATCGATTCGATCGGGACCATCGTTCGTTGGCGCTCGCTTTCGGACCGGGCCACAAGCGACAGACTGCGACTGTGCGGACCATCGCTAAGTGATCACTGTAGCTGTCTCCCCCTCTTCCTCGCCTCTGCCATGGCGCGGTCTGCTCGTCGATTACCCCTAGAGACCGTCGCCATGATCGTAGACGCAGTATAGACGATCTACCCGGCCTCAGGCTAGACTGTTGCGAATGCTGGAAGTCACTTGCTCTGGCGTGCAAAGCCACCCGGGGCCGAATCCAGCGACACCTCTTTCACTCCATCACAGTGATTTCTACGAAGTGTCCGCGCCTTCGCGACGTTTCACCCGGTCACCCACGCTGGCATAACATGTCCAGCCCCTGGACGTGATAAGAACCAGGAAGGAGCTCTGCGATGAGTTCCACGAATCCTGTACTTCACGCACGATCGGGGGAGCATCGCGACTTGTTTTACCTCCACGTTTCCGGCACTCAAGGGACTCAAAATCAAGAGCTGCACCTTATTTCTCGTTTGCGGACCTCATGCGCATCGTGTCGTGCATGCCTCCGGGTCAGGAGCTAACCGTGTCCTTCGTCGATCTCGTCCACCGTACGACCAACGTCGCCACCCAAGCTTCATACCGCCTCGCCCTGGAGCTTCTCCGAGCTGTCGACCCACAACCACTACCTCAAAGAGCGAGACGGTTGCCGACATGGCCGGCCTAATTCGTAAGGTATCTCATCTTGACATGGCCATCGAGGATTTGGCACGATTATGCGCTATACCGTGAACTCGCATCGCCAGATTAGGGGTATAAAAACTCGGAGCTTGCGGTTGGCAATGAAATTGGACGCGGCCAAGAGGGAACAGTTACACGGTCCGTGTTTCCGTTGCCAACCGCATCTTCACTAGCTCATCACCCGATCTCCAAACGCAGCCCTGTGTTGCAGCAACGAGGCGTGGAACACCCAGGCTGCGCTGGAGTCTTGGACGCTATGCCAGTCTCATTCTGATGAGGAGGCCGACGCAGGACACTGGCTGTAAGCGGATGGGCGGTGGGCGACCCGCTTCCTCCGAAATCACTCTATGGTTCTTTTGTTGTTCAGAACAAGAGGCGGAACGGGGCTCGGCCCTATGGGAAGGCTTGGATTGACGTGGTCCTTTCCTCCGGAAGTCGGTTTCCGGTCTTGGAGACAGTCACCCTCCAGGAGGAGTTTGCACTTCGAACAGCACGACGTAGAAGGAACTTTTGGAGCTTCTTCCCAGGACTCATGGCAGAAGTATACCGTATATAAATTTCGAGGATACCGAAGAAGAAGACGAGGGCAAGGGTGGCGATGAAGAGGAGGTGAATGACCACCCGGAGGGCGTGGAAGTATAACATGATGTACTCATGAGTAGTAGTGTGCAACGGCGTGAGTTAGAAGGCGGTACCCACGCGCGTGCTATCAATACACCCTTCGCCATGTGCGCGCCCGACTTACCGCCTGCATCGCGCCATTCGTCATGCCTTCCACGCTCCCGGCTTGCCTGAGCACCACCACGAGCGCCACGAGTCGCTCTTGAACGAGTACCTGTCCTCGTCGTAGCGCAACAGCAGCCAGCATGCCGTGGAACAGCCGCAAGTTGAACGACGGTGGGTGCAACATCCACGGCGAACGATTAATTGCTCAGGGGTCGGCGCTGAACACGACCTTGGGTCGATAGGGCGCACCATCCCCGAGATCGCGTTTGGGACGTGGACGTTGGGGAACGGCCAAGACCCGATCGACTACGTCGACAACGCGCTCGACGCCGGCTTCAGCCACCTCGGTGCGTCTCTCATACCCGTCCGCTCACCCCTCCGCGACCTGAATCTCTCAACATGGCCGCAGATACCGCGCAGGCGTACGGGAACGAGAAGGAGGTCGGCATCGCGCTCCGCGAGTCCGGGCTTGCGCGCGAGGACGTGTTCATCACCACCAAGTTCTCCGGACGCGACGGGCTGTCCATCGAGCAGAGCATCCGCAACAGCCTGGACAACGTGCGTCGGCGTTAAACCCACGTATATTCACACACCTAGCTGACATCGATGATTTTGAATGCAGCTGGGCGTCAAGTACGTCGACCTATATCTCATCCACCACCCGCGCCTCGCGCAGCCCGACATCCCATCCGCGTGGGCGGTCATGGAAAAGATCCAAGCCGAAGGCCTCGCGAAGTGAGCAATGAATACTATGTTAGCACGATTCCGTTGAGAAAAAAAAAACGCGAACGCGTCGCCCGTTCTCAGGAGCATCGGCGTGAGCAACTTCGAGATCTCGGACCTCACCACGCTCCTCGCTTCGGCCAAGGTCAAGCCAGCCGCGAACCAGGTGCGCCTTCGTCTATATATCGAGGCGTGACCGCCTACTGAAACGACGAGGTCCCAAGATCCTGCTCCACCCGTACGTGAACGTCCGTCAAGCCCCGCTCGTCGCCTTCTGCAAGGCGAACGACATCGTCGTCGAAGCCTACAGCGCGCTCACGTACGTATCCCCCGTATCCCCCACTCTCGTGTATTAGGACCACCCCCCCTGATCGCGCGTTGTTCCATGGTAGGCCGCTCACCCGCCAGCGCGGAGGGCCCGTCGACAAGCCCGTGAACGCGATCGCGGCCAGGCTCGACGCGAGCCCGGACCAGGTGCTGCTCGCATGGGCCAGGGCGAAGGGCGCCGTCCTCGTCACGTACGTCTTTCTCCCATCCTCCATCCTCCACCATCTCATCCTCTCGCCCTTCATCCTCTCTCGTATATGTTTGGCTGAAACCGGACGCTCTTTGGTTCAGGATGAGCTCCAAGAAAGAGCGCGTCGAGGGCTACCTCAAAGCCGGCGACATCGGTGCGGATCGCCCTCCTTCGTTTTCTTTTTCTGTTCATGCTACGGCTGACGCGGTTGTGTTACGATAGAGCTTACCTCGGACGATGTCCGCGATATCGACGTCGCGGGCGCCCTCGGCGTGCGCCTGTCCGCGCGTACTGTCCTGCGTCGCGTGGCCGGCCTCACGGTCCTCACCACCGCCGCGTTCGGCGTGTGCACTTACCTCGGCGTGGAGATCTTCTAAGTACCGAGGCACATACCGATGCAGCTCGGACTGGGCGTTCCGGTTTATTTGGACGAGCGAGTTTTCCGTGTTCCGAGCGCCATCACATGTAACGTTTACAAGTCGAGAGCGCGGGTACGGGGCGATGTGTGTGTACGATAGGACGGTGCGGGTGTCTATTATATACACATGTTTTTTTTTTTTTCGGATGGCAGCAGCACGAATCGACCCCAAGCTCCGGGGGTCTCCTCAACCCCGCATCGCCTCGCGCGTCATCCTCTCCACCTCCAGAAACGCGTCCACGAGCGCGGGGACGACGAACGGCTCGCTGCGCTCGCGCGCGACGTCGCGCAGCGCCTGCTCGACCTCCCTCTTCCGCTCCAGCGCGCGCTCGCGCTCGTGCTCCGCCTGCGCGAGCTTGCGCCGCACGTCGTCCGTCCGCCGCTCGGCCGCGCGCACGTCGTCCTCGGCCGTGAGCCGGCGGCGGCGCTCGGCGGCAAGGGTGGAGCGGGTGGCGGCGAGGTCGGAGTGGGCGGCGGCGAGGTCGGAGCGGGCGGCGGCGAGGTCGAGGCGGAGGTCGTACGTTTTGCGCTGTTCGGCGGCGAGCGCGGAGTCGAGGGTGGAGAGCGCGGCGGCGGGGTATGAGGCGGAGGCAGAGGCAGAGGCGGGTGAGGAGGCGGGTGAGGAGGAGCGCGGGCAAGGGCGGGATAGGCCGGGTGGGCTGTCCGACGGCGCGGGTGGGGCGAAGGGCGTCGAGGACGGCGGGGGAGTGGGGAGGGGCAGGAATTGCTGGTGCTGGTGCTGGTGCCGGTGCGCCTTTTCGCGCTCGAGCTCGGCGACGCGCGCTTGGAGACGGGCGATCTCGTCTTGGCCGCATGAGGCGAGGAAGTGGGTCGCGGACGCGTCGTCTTCTTGTTTGATGCGTACGGGAGGTGGGGAGGGGTCGCGGAGGTGGGCGAAGGAGGTCGAGGGGTGGCGCGAGGAGGCGATCGAGCCGGGGGAGCGGTCGAACCGGGAGCTGCGGGGAGGGGCGGTGAGGTCGATGGGGGCGGAGCGGGAGGTGTAAGGGTAGGGCTGGTAAATTAGAGAGCATCAGCCGATTATGAACAGGCGAGGAAAACGGAGACGTTACCTGGCAGCCATGGGGCGCCCAGACGAGTGATTTGTCGTCTGGATCGAGCGACCAGGTCGACGAGGTGGAGGGTTGATGCCGGAGACTCCGAGGTGCGGAGGGAGGCGCCCTGTCGAACGTCGACGCCGTCCGGTCCTTCCAGATTATCCATCTGGATGATACGTTGGGAACGATGCTGCCTGTGTGTGTGTGGACGGAACGGACCTGTATTGGATGTTTTTTCTGGGGAGAAGTCGGAATCAGCGGGCCCGTCGCGAACGAGGAAGGACAGACGACGTGCAAGCACTCACATCCCCAGAGCGCCCAAGAGATCGGGGTCTCTCTGCACTTTCTCCACGCGCTTGGTGATCGTTTGCGGGGCCTTGGGAGGATGAGGAGAGGCGGTTCAGTTACAGCAGGGACAGCTCAGCGACGGGGAAAGGCAGCTCACGTCGCGGGCCATGGGCCAGTAGAACTGAGCGCAGCCGCGGCTGATCCTCTGCACCGCGTCCCCCCGGGGATGGGGTATGCCGAGCGTGTTCAGGTCATCGCGCAGCTCGCGGACGAAGTCGTACTCGGCGCCGTCAAAGAGGGCGGGGAGGCGGTGGGAGTGGTTGTGGTAGACGATGCGCACGGAGAGCCGCTGCTCGCCCATCGTTGTCGTCGGCGTCGGCGTCGGGAGGGCGATAGGAGACTCGGAGGGGAAGGCGGAGGCATGCGGAGGAAAGGTCGGCGGGCGACGTGGAGGTCCGACACGCCACCATGCTCTCGTCCTTCTTCTTGCAAACCACGACCACACACACCACGCAGTCTATCAAATCTCGTGGCTTGGCAGATCCAGGATGTTGCTTGGCGCTTATATCCTATTATCTCCTCGAGATCGCGCTGCAATCTTCGGCGCCAACTTGGGCGTCAACGGAATCAGCCATCTAAGCGCTCGATCTGAAATCTCGTTCACGCCTTCACGGCACCTTTGTTCAGTTGCGCAACGGTATGCAGGTCCCAAATTGCACCGCTGATCACCGTCGTGAAGGAGAGTAATTACACAACATCCGAATGTGGAACAAAGGCTCGACAAAGGAGCTTTTAAGTGCGAGCAATTCATGCAGGCATACTGCCCTGGATGATCACAAAGACGTCAAGGTGCAAAGACGACATCGCGATCGATGCAAGGGAAAACGGCTTTGAGGATTATATTCCCCAATCACACGAAATTCCCTCCATCAGGATGCGTCCCGCAAAGGAGGGGAACCTGCTGTGACAGCTGGAGCTATACGTCTTTGTTCGTTCATCTTCTTTGTTCGTTCATATAAACCGACTCAGCCCGATCGTGTATTATTGCTATTAGATCATCCTAACACACATCGCGCCTGCCACTCATCCATGCAGCCCGCAGGTCCACCCAACCCCATCCCCTTGCCCGCTCCCTTTGTCATCGGACCTCCCGGAGGACCGGTGCCCGCCGCGACCGACGCCGCACCACAGCCGAATGACGCAAATTACATAGTAACGTGGGCCGTTCACGAACCCTGCTACGCGGTCAAGCTCGAGACCGGCGCCCAGTGCGAGCAGTTGCACGCGACGCTCGCTGCCTCCCCGCATGTGCGGCACCCGCATCACATCCCTGCACATCGACGGCCGCGCGCGCGCCGTGGCACCGCCAAGGCGCTCATCGACGAGATCCCCGCCATCCTCTCCGCGTGCCCTCATCCGGTCACGCTCGTCTTGAAAGAACTTCACCGCCGCCGACATGGGCTCCATGGACGACCGTCAATGGGACATCGACAAGTACCTGCGCCGCGCTCGCGCCCCCCTCCGCGAGCTGCGCTACCTTCTGCTCGAGGGCTGCACGATGAACGCGTACGACGACTTGGCGATCGCGCTCTCGTCGTCCATCACTTCGGCCTGCACCGCACTTGTGCTTCCACCGCGTGCACTTCCCGCACGGGCATCGAGGAACGGGTTCGCGCGCGTCTGGCCCACGCTCGGCCTGCGACCGAGCGTGCTCGCGCTGATGGACCAGGTGTTGAAAGAAGACCAGGTGGGGGCATTCGCGAGTGCCTTTGCCTGCGTCTCTACACTCGAGATGGCCATCAAAACCTTCCGAGACTACGATTTCCTCCGGTGCCTCACCGTGCCGCGCAAGGGGCTGGAGCGGCTGGTGTTGTCCGTCAACTGGGAGGGCGACAGGGGCTACACGCGATGGCCAGCATGTACGCCGCACTTCCTCTTACACCCCATTCCTGCCCCCTGTGCCCCGACTCATACGAATCGCACTTTCCAGATGACATATACGCGCCCGAGAACGAATGGACGAATGGCGTCGCACTGAACTCGCTCCTCCTGCGCGAACATCCGACCGAACGGCGGCGGCACAACGACGGCGTCGACGGGCTGTGGGGCGAGCCACTTCATATGCACCGTGAACGGCTCCGCGCTCGAGAGCGTGACGCTCGTCGTACGCTTCAGCGATCCGGCGGATCCGTGGCCCGGGTTCAACTGGGCGTGCTCGGATCGCTCCCCGCACTGCGGTCCGTCGTCGTGAGGCACGAGAACCTCGGCGATGCGGAGAGGGACGCGGCGTATGAGGGGGTGAAGGCGGGCATGGGCATGGCGATCGCGCGACGACTGTCGAGGGTCGCGGCGCGGGGCATTCTTACCGTGCCCATCTGACTTTTACGAGCTTTCGAGCGTGATGTGCTTTTAAATGAGCGAATGTATGCATGCTCTGTTCTTGTCAGGTTACGATGATATGTACTTTAGTAACTCCGCATACGAATGGCTGTTGCTACACTATCGGCGGTCGATGAAGACAAGAAAGACCTGCCTTTAACAAGGCGTGTGAAATCGGCAGCTCGGCGGGCCATGCGGAGGTTCTCGGGCAACGGATCCCGAACTTACAAGCCTGCCCTATGGATGCTGTCGATGGTTTCTCCTCCTGTTGCACTAGCTACTGCACAGCGTAGTGCTGCGCCACAGACTGTACCGATCCTGAGGATCGGTCGTGAAGGTCGGCGGGTGGACACTGCCTAAAACAATACATTCACCACATGCGGAGAAAGCCGCTTGCAGACTAGCACAGCTCCCTCGTCTTCCCTGTGGCGAGGCTATATAAGTACGAAGACGATGTCACGACTGACAACAAGATATAGTGGACCGTGTTCGATATCCTATTGTGCGGTGAACACGTGGAAGGATATGCAAGCCCTTCGGAATCAAAAAGGACCTGAGGTTCATGTTTCCATATATCAACAGCTCTTGTCACGATTCCGATCTGCCCCCTGGAATGCAGGTCAAAAGCCACACTTGTTTTTATTTACCTAACGCCACCCTTGTTGCAACGGAGCACTCGGATCGCATATAAGGCGACACATTCCGGAGGCCTTTCTCTCCTCAAAGTACCAGCAGACCGTTGCACCCGCGCCGCCGCCAATGACTCAGCTCGCAGGGCAGTCTAACCAGCTCAATAGCATGGAGCAAATTGACACTCTACCCGCTCACCTCCTGATCGGCCCGTGCTACCCAGGCTTGAGTGAGCTAGCCTCGGAATACGCTTCGACCCCGGCTACGCCTGAGGTACCAGCACCATCGAAAAATAACGACGGTACTGTCGACTGGATTGCCCACCAGCCCTCCGATACGCTTCGGCTCGAGACCTGCGCCGAGTGCGAACAACTCCTCGCGACGCTCTCCACCACCCCGCACCTCGGCGACAGCATCAAAACGCTCGACGTTGATGGTCGCTCTCGCATCGGTTCTCCCAACGGGCTCTGGACTACGTTGCCTAGTATCTTCACCGCTTGCCGTGGGCTTCAGACGCTCCGCCTGCGCAACTTCAAATCCCTGCCTGGCCTCCCGACAAGCGGCGCGCTCAATTACCTTATCGGAGCTGGCCCGCTTCACGGGCTGCACGACCTCATCCTACAAAACTGCGTGATGGACTCGTACGACGACCTTGCGGAGGCGCTCGGGAGCATGCCCTTGCTACGCAACCTTCGTCTCGATCATGTCTCCTCCCATGTCTACCAACAGCCTTGGGACCGAGGGAGATGGCCCTACGCTGGCCTGAGGCTACGCGCGCTTGACCTCAAGGACCACGTTATTACAGAGACCCACGCTGGTCCAATCGCAGAGGGTATTTCTCGCCTGGAGATGCTCGACATGACCATCAAGAACTGGCAAGATCACGATCTGCTGCAGTGTCTCACCGTCCCACGGAAGGGACTCGAACATCTGACCCTGTCCGTGAACTGGGAAGGAAAGCCCGATTCGGAAGACAAGGAGGACAAGGAGTGGCCAGAAGGTCAGTGTCTCACCGTAACTCCTTTCACGGCCGCATCTTCTCATCCATGCAACGTTAATTACAGAGACGATATATAGCGGCGAGTGCGAGTGGACGCGCGGCGTCGCGCTGCGGACGCTCACCCTGCGAGAGTACGCGCGCGAACGTCCGCGCGAGAATGCCGGTGTCGATGGCGAATGGGCGAGCCGCTTCCTTCGCACCGTTAACTGCGCCGCGCTCGAGTCCGTTATCCTCGTCATTCACTACGTTGATCCGGACCCATGGCACGGGCTCCGGTGGGCGGACGCGGACGACGTGCTTGCAGCGTGCACCACCTTGTGCGCCGTTGTTGTCAAACACGAGGATCTCGGCGACCCGCGGTGCGACACGGCGAACCTGGACTTGAAGGCGATCATGGCTGTTGTGCTCGCGCGGCGGCTCCCGAAAGTTGCTGAACGAGGCATACTGCAAGTGATACCGTGAATGCATCGAGGCTCTGACTGTGGATTGCGGTGTTATATCAAAGACAACTAGGAATGCCATGGAAAATTTTGAACTACTAGTTTCCGACTTGCAGCTACCCATCTACCCGTTCACCCCAAAGCGGCCAACACCTCTGCCTTCAATCTGCATTGTTCGTTATGCATTTCTCTTCCCCAATACAAACGATACTCCTTTTTACGGTCCTGGGAAAGAGCTGCCATCTCATAGTCAATGTCACCTCAGCCTCGAAGTCTCTAGGTGGTGAGCCCGAAGCTTCAGTGACCACACGGGGCTACGAGGGTAACCGGACTTGTCCATCCGTTGTCCCACACGCATGGCCGAGGCTTCTTCGCATGACCCGCTAATGTGAACTTCGCTAAGGTAAAAGCTCGGCGGAAAAACCGTGCCATCATGCGATCGCGCCAGTGGGACGAAGATATCCGCCAAGTAAATGTACGTATCCAACCTGCACTTCTAAAGCCCTACTTATGGCACGAAGGGGCGGTAGCGACTGGCAACTGGCTAAGAAGATGTCGATGTGCATTGACCAAGGAGCGAGATTCATGAATCGAAGCTTGAAGTTCCGTAAGCCAACCGCAGATTTGCAGGATGTACGCCAGCAGACATGGCGCGTGTCCCACCACGACCTCATACCCGGCGTCCAGAAGCCAGATGAAGAGCCGCCGCAAAGCCGTCCCGGTGTCGTTTGCAGATCTCCCTGAAAGAGGTCGCATTGAGCGCGGCAACCCGGTTGCCCAACTTACTAAGGAAAGGGCGTTCAGCGTATCTTTCGAGAGTCTGCCTAAGTCCGATTCGTGTATCGCCTTGCCATCGACTGTGGAGGTAGTACGAGGTCGATGATACCCTCGACCGTTTCCTGAAGGTAACATGTCCACAGATCGCGGAGTTCGACCCTCGCTCGCAACAGAGGGACGTCGAAGTATCCGAATCTAAATCAAATAGCGTTGACGACTGAGCCAAGGACTGAATGAACCTCCAAGGAGTCAATTTCATCAGGAAAAACCGGATTTGCTAAAAACCTCCTAAAACTTACTAAAACGTGTTCATTTAGTAGCTTTAGAGGGTTTCGGTACCCAATAAGCGTCTCTTTCGATAGTCAGATTTTTCCTGATGTTATCGGTTGGTCGGTCGTGGCGGGGTGAAGCAGGTGCTATCGTTACTCAGCCACCTCGTTCAGCGCGGTTTTGCACAGTGCTTGCCGCTGCGTCCACAACAACTTCAAACAATCTACAGTCGATCTCGAGCTTTCCTATTACACCTCACTACCACTCGCTTGACCGATAACGAGAACAACCACCCCTCAGGCTGTGTGACTCACGCAGACATGAAGCACCATGCGCGCAACTTTGACTGGCGGACAACGCACGTAGGAATGCCGTTCGTTCATCGCTCGTCGCGATCGTGGTGGCCAACAGGAGGGTACGAGGCCACATGCTGCCGACTCTTGTGGCGATCTCGTGCTACCACGCAATCATTGCATTGTCTGGGCCACAGAACCGCAGTCATGGCGAGACAATGCGGGCTTTGTCTTATCATCAATCATAAACCCCGAGCCAATGTGGCTTGTGTCTGGACGCGATACAAGGCAAAAAATGTCCTCGCGGCTATAAGAATGATGCATGGATTGCCCTCCTCGCTCCGCCCTCTCGCCGCTCCTCATCGACCCGCCAACATGCTCCATTCTACTCGCCTTCCTCAGGAGCTACTCGACATGGTTATTGATTTCGTACACGAAGACGAAGCACATCAGGAAACTCGCCAGTCTCGGGAAGATCGACTGCGAGCCTTGTCCCTGACATGCAGAGCCACCAGGGGACGAAGCCAACGTCTTCTCTTCCGTGACGTTTCTCTCAATACAACGACATGCTCTCGCCTGCAAGACATCCTTCTGGCTTCGCCTGGCTTAGCTTCATACATAATTTCCATAGAACTCACAGGATCTCCAGCCAACGTCCCGAACGGTTTCTACCATTCATTGCGATTTGTCTTCAGCGTGTGCTGTGAACTCGTATGGCTCATGTTGGTAGATCTTGACATCTCTCGGTGGGATATCGTGCCTTGCTTCCCCCAAAAGTTTCCTGCCCTTCAAGACATCGCCATGCACGATTGCACCTTCCCCTCATTGGACGGGTTCATACGTATCTTGTCCTGCATGCCTCCGCATAGGGATGTCTCTCTGGCGTCCGTTTGCTTCGTCGACGTTGCACAAACGCCGGCATCCCATCTACCCTTGCACTTCGAAAGTCTGAATCTCTACGGTCAGACTGCAAAATTACTCAAAGGGCGGATGATAGCGGATGTCATCGGCGGAGTGGACTCCCTCACCATGTGCATCATGGATTGGCAAGATTATCACCTGTGGCGTGCGCTTTCGGAACCAGGCAAGGGCGTCGTGCATTTGGAGCTGGAAGTGCTATGGACGTTGTCGAAAGAGGAGCGAGATGGTGAGGCCGTGATTGCGAGACAAGCCCTTCCACCATTGATGATTTGAATACGCAGTCTTGTGCTACTCCGACAAGGCATGGAACACCGGTATGAAGCTGCAAGAACTCACGCTGTGCTCGAGTAGGGGCTATGCTAAGCATAGCGGAAGGACCGCGGACGGGTGTTGGGCAAGTCACCTACTTCTTACGATCCAGACCCAAGAGCTCGCGCTCATCACATTGCGTGTCTTTCCTGCGGATGATCCCGGTATTTGGGACCGATTCGATTGGGCTGCAGTTGATGATGCGGTGACGTCTAAGGACCGGTTTCCGGCTCTGGAAGAACTCGTGATCGATATGGTCTTGCCGAGGGCGCGCATAGCAGAGTCCTCGTTATACGAGGAGAGGGTGAACCGACTTCTACCCAAGGCGTTGAAGCAGAATCTGCTGATCATTGAGGGTAGAGAGGATGACTGGCCTGCGATAGAAGATCCTTCAGCTATGCAATTATGAATAGTGTCACTAGACCGAGGTTGCAATGTCGAATACGCGATAATACGCAGGCCAGGCCCACTTGAGATCGCACTGCAGACCGGCGTCGGCTATGAATCATCAATCGTTTATCCTGTTACACGAGAATGTCTAACTCATTACGATTACGAGGCTAGGTAGCGAATGTGAAGCGGGTCGAAAGCTCGTCGAAAGCATGTGCAGGTTCCTCTCAGTTTCCAGTTTCAAACAGTACTTCGGGGTGTTGAAGGGTATATCGCGGTTCAATATACTTTGATACATCATGAATCAGTGGAGACGCGTGTGAGCGACTTAGGCGCACCTTGCAGTTTCTATCCAAGAGTGTCCAATACGGCGATATCGCTCGCGGCGGATGACCGCTTGTACTCGTGGCCTACGAAGTTCATCACACTTCGACGACGTTTTAGCAAAACCAGATCACAAAGCACGGAACAAATACACACTAAATCGTTCCATCTGCGCAGCCGACCACGACTTCCTCGTGCGTAAGCTGCATCGACATCGGGTTCTTCTCGGGAGTTGCAAGACCTTGATAATTGGGCGGCACTTTGCCAAGTAGGCCCTTGACGGTGTGGATGGCACCATCGTTTTGGGCCAGCGCGGCCCAGACGCCCTGTAGCGCATGTATATCGGTGTCCAAATCGACCCCCGGAGACGAGACCAGGTCGGAACTGGAGTCCGTATCGGTGTCTTCATCTTCACCATCCTCCGAGACCTTCCTCCTCTGCGATTTGTCGTGATGTGTCGATATGAATATCTAGAATATGCCGATCATGAGGAACGTCACAGGTTCGTGAATAAGAGTCGTGCCCACCCTACGATCGGCTCCCGCGCGGGAACTGAAGCGCGTCGCAGTGACTACACGGCGCTTCTGAGGATCAACCGCCCCAACGGCGACATCGGGGGTCTCTACCACGGCAACCAGCTTCGGTGGAGCAGTGAGCACCGCAGCCCGACCGAAGTGGATTTGGAAAGGAGAGCCTCCGCCGTTGACGGACGCGGACAACGGACGTAACCCCGACACGGAGAGCGAAGACGGAGTACCACTGCGCGGGGACGGGCTAACTGGTGTCATCGGAGCTTGCGGTGTAAGGCTGAGACGTGGCCTGGCAGATGTTGAGGTCGACCCTGAACTATTGAGTGAGCTGCGGCGTGGGGTGCTGATCGACGACGTCGAACGCGCAAGAGACGCCACCATCTTGGGGCGCCCGAGAGCTGATAATGTCAGAGGAGACTGCGGCTCAGCTGACGCGGGCGGTGGGACTTCTTCATCCTCCTCTGTCCATTGCAGATGGAGTATGACCGACTTGGTAGCACACTGGAGATATGTTTAGAGCATGGCCCATGGTAGTGGATGCGTCGTACCGTCATCTGCGAGCCTTTCGCAGCGAACCACCTGATGTATGCTGTAAGAACACCATTCGATTGCGAGTACTAGCTAACATACTCACTGTAGCATGTTGTGGGGTCCAGTGCCTACATTGAACAGCTTGCTGCTCAACACCGGATCTCCCTCACCCAGCTCAGAGAGCTTGAACTGCGAGATCATCTCCCTCCGTTCTGGATTCCATCTCAGTACCGGATGCAATGGATGGGGCGGGATCTTACTGATTGAGAACACGCGTACGATGCCGTCGATGGTGACACTGACGATCCTCTCGCCCTCTTGGCTGTTGATGATTTGCACGCCGATGTTCATCGTCGTCTGCTGCCCAAAGCGGTGGATCTTGGTGCCAAGGCGCCAGTCCCAGACGACGAGTGCTTTGTCGGCGCCAGCAGATACAAGAGTCTTGGACGACATGACGACAGCTCTGATGCCGTTAAGATGTCCGGAAAGCTGCTGCAGGGGCGAGAAGGTGAGCGAGGAGAAGACGTGCACACGCCTGAGACCGGCATCAGCGACTCAGATTTCGAGGAGCAAAACCCAGCATACCCAACGTCGTGAAAGCCGACGACGAAAACCTCTAGAACCCGGCGGTATGAGTAAACCGAAGAGTTGGTCATAGCTGCTTCACCAACCTTCCTCCTCCAAGAAGTCCACACAGCTGACGGGTTTCTTCACCTGCAGACACTTCTTCATCTCGCCAGTCTCGACGTCCCAGAAGCGGATAGTTTCGTCATAGGATCCTGCGCTAACATCAGCATGCTTCGGCCTTCCAAGCAATGTTACTCCTACCGCTGATCAAACGCTTCCCTAAGGAAGAGTCAAGTCAGCTTCATCTTTTGCTCGACGGCTCGCTCGGCCACGAACCTCGAAGGAGCAGGGTCGTGCAATAATTGGTGTGGCCGTTGAGGAAGCGGATAGTTTGAGGGAGCGCATTGCGGAAGTTGGACTCCCGATGATGCAAGGAGCGATAAAGCGGTTCCCTATGGCCCACGTTCACTGTTCATCCACGCGACGATACGACAAAGACCTACCATCCTTCCGGAGTCTTCGGAGGTCTGACGGGAGATGGATCCGTAGCGGTTATGCGAAGACAATGAAGCCTCCACAAGGCAGGGAGGTGAACCAAGCCCTGCCACTTCTTCGAAACCTATAAAGAATCACGATTTCAGTTCCTAAAGGTATTCATAACCTCGAATAGCGTGCGGACCGTCTCGACACCAAGCAGCTCCGGGACACTAAGCCACTTGAAGACCTTGAATACGAGGTCCGGGGCAAGATTACCTATAATGTCGAAGGTCGACTTAGCGTACTTCTCCAGGAGTGCGATTTGAAGGCGGATATCGCCCGGCATGCACGAGTCAAGGATGATGGCAATCCTGCGATAACAAGCCCGTTAGCACTGGGAGGGGCAACAACATCTCACAACGTACAGTCTCATCCTCTCATCCCTGCTCAGGCCGCGAATGGCCTTCCGCACCTCAATCTCGTTGAATTCCCCGTTGGTTCCCCTTAAAGCTTTCATCAAGTCCACCGTCTCGTTACCATCGTCATCATCGTCGCCACGGTATCCAGCCCAGTAGCCCGTGCGCTTCTTCCCCCCACAAACGCAGTAGTCGTCACTGCCGACCCGATCTGACCTCAACGCGATTGTATCGCCTGATCCTTCGGCGCGTTGACGCAATATCCGTATCTCAGCCTGCATGGCGTGCAGTTGCGCTGCCGTCGACGCTTGGGTGCGCTCCAGCAGGCGTTTGTAATGGAGCAGCTTGCGCGCATGGACCGCGGAGACGTTATCCAGTGCGCCTTGCATCTGGAAACAATCTCGTCATCAGCCTCGTGGTTAGCACGCACTATGTGATGAGGGAGCTACTTACGTCCTCGTCGACTTGGCCATCATCTATATCCGTCATCATCTCGAGCGTCATGTTATCACCGTCGCCATCCCAGACCGAGAGCGCCTTGCCGTCGTCTTCGCCATGCGTGAGCCGAATCGAGGGGGAATCCAGGGATGGCGCAGAGAGCCCGATCTGAGCATTAAACTTGGCCGATGCTCCTAAAGGCGACATGCCGGAGATGGTAGACGTGGTGGAACCTTGGCGTGCGTTCTGCTGGCGCCCGAGCGAACGTGGAGTGGTGCTCCCTCTCTTTGCCGGAGGAGTACCCTTAGGTGTCGTTGGATCTTGCGCCGCCGCTTTCGAGGGCGTGCCCTTAGGAGTGACACTTTGCTTCGTTCTGGGCCTCAGTTTAGGGCTAGCACCAACGTCCGAAGCCGCGACACAAGCTGTCGCTGCTGGGGACGACGATTTTTGAGGTGAGCTATGCTGGCGTTGAGGCGTGGATATCGTTCGTATACGAGGTGCTTGTTTAGCAGATTGAGGGGTAGAAGGGAATTGGGACGAAGAGCGAACACTGGCAACCGATTTTGCAGTGGAATGCGTTGACGAAGCTGCCGAGGCCGTGCTGGTGGAGGACGTCGTTCTTCTGAGCTGAGCCAGAGGAGGGTTACGAGTGACCGGGGATGGGGATATCGGGAATCCCCCGGATGGGCCATTGCTCGACTGCCGTCTGGACGTCGACAAGCTTCCCACCGGCGCCGACTGTCTTCGCGTGGCGCTCAACGATGGGATGGAACTTGAGAGGCGCTTGGCAGTAGCGGAAGGAATTGGAACAGGGGTCGCGTTGGGAGAACGAGCGCGAGGGCGCGATTGCTGCTGCGAGCTGACGATGGTGCTGCCGTCGCTGCTGGCCACGCTGCCCGCGTTGGAGAACGTACGCGATTTCGTGGACACAGAATTTGATACGAGGGTCCCGGTAGTAGAACGACGCGAGAAACGCGTCGATGCCTCGGAGGGTGCACGGTTGGTCATCGCGTGGACCTGCTGGCGCTGGCCGACTGGGCACAGTTGACTGAGATGGTCCCAAAAGCGTGAAGCTCGAGCTAGTGGTGGTCGAAAATCTTTACGCCCGCCGACCTCCCGCGACCCAGCTAGGTTTGGGTCCACGCAATGCGCGTTGCGCGTGGATGGTCACACTATCATAAGAGCAAATGAACGCGAAGGTAAGAAGAGCGATTCATTTTGCTTGTTACACGCCCTCGTACCCTGAGAGCTATAAGTAGTGGATCTGTTGGCTCGCTGAAGGCAGCGTTGGTTGACGCGTTCCGAGGTATCAACGGAGGTGGAAGTCAACGACAAGACTCGCTCTGGTTACCCTGGAGATTCAACCACGATAAGGTCAACAAGAGACTACTAAGCTGCATTGACCGCAGTCAGTTGATAGCATAGACTATTTCTCTTCAGGTACATAATACAACCTTTTTATCCACGTGCCATTCCTAGGTTCTCCATACCCCTTGATGCGACCTCGTTGATGCAACCCCGGCGGTTGTGTAACTTGTAGTGTTGGCGCTCTCCCTCTGACTCTGATGCCATGCTACGCAGTCTCCTTACGCCTCTAACGGCGCGGTTTGAGAACATCAACATCTCACCTCGCAATGACCGAGGCTCACCTGCCACGCCGGGGCGGCACGAAGATGACCTCGACCCGGAGGACTTCAGACGGGATGTCCTCATAGACGTTATGCGAAACTCGGTTGAACGACTAAAGGAGGCCGAGGACACGAGGGACAAGCTTGAGGTTAGTACACTTTGCTGTAGACCAGGGAGGCTCCGTTTGTTGAACGGTGGCGCTCTGCAGACCCTCGCGGAGATCCAGAGGATTATCCTTGAAGACACGTATAACTGCACAAAGGATGTGTTCAGGGAGATGGACGGGTTCCTGGCACTGATGGGCTTTCTATCGACGCTTCGCGTGCGCGATAGTCTAGTAAAGGAGCCTGAGGAGCAGGTTCTGCAAGAGGTGACGGAGGGAGTGCGCTTGGTCTTCGTGGTGCTCTCGGAAGCGATGCACGACCACCGTCAAAACACAGATTACTTCAAGGTGTGTGCTGCGCATTCATATCATCATTTGGCTGCTAACGTATGTTCCACAGTATCGCGTTGGATACGAATCGCTAAAAGAAGCTACCCTGCCTCTAGCGGTCGATGCGAAAATTCGTGACCAGACATTTGGATGCCTTCTGTCTTTCTGCCTACACAACTTCTCCCTCTCCGGGCTATTTGCCACTCTTCGAGATTGTGACTTGGCCCACGTAGACGAGCACCTCAAGGCGCTAGAACGACAGCTCGGCACGCTCATGCAGGCAGATGGGTACCGGGTCCTCTGGAGGCTCCTTGGCTCTATCCCCGACGATGGTGGCTTGCGTTACATTGTATTAAAGCTCACGGATCGTCTCATCCACGCAAGTCACCGGAACCATGCGCTCATCGCTAGCCTGGGGCTCGTTCCCCAATTATTCTCATACTTTACTTCCCTGTCCCCCCGCGAATCAGAGCCAACTTCTCCAATGGACGGAAAGGCCTCTCGATCTCCTGAGCGGAACCTGGTGCAGAAACTCCTAAGGTTTCTTCTGGAGATTGGGGCAGATGCCGACGACGTGCGTCAAGTTCTGCAGAGGGTGGCTAAGGACGACGATTCCTTGAACGGCGACCTGCTCGAGGTGGTGCGCAGTGCTATGAAGGCGCAGTCGCGATGGACGCAGCATGTGTCGATGGAAGAGCGCGCAGCGTTCACGTTGACTGAGAACGGGGTCAGGGGCATGCCGAGTGCAGGCTTCACGTTCATGGTAACGAGGACACTTCGTTTATGTGTAACATCTCTTGCTCATATTCTGTTTCTCCAGATCTGGGTTAATCCCGAGAGGTTACCGATCAAGGCGCCTCACCTTCTGTTTGGCGCGAGAGCTGGGCGGACATCCCTTATTCAGCTGAGCCTTCGGCCGGACGGCAAGCTTCAGCTACAGACGTCGTCCCGGAAGGACGCAGGTGTCTTCACCAAATCTTCTGTTCCGAAAGGTCGCTGGACACACATCGCGCTCGTACATCACCAACACAAAGCAGCGAACCCGACGATCCGTCAGTCTTCCCTCGTCCATAATCTATTATGGCTCGAACTCATCATTTCCTGTCCAGGATTATACGTTGAAGGCGCTCTAGTAGACTCCTTCAATTGGCCATATCCGAAACCCGATAACAGTGCCCGCCACTTAACATACATCATCGGTGACGATACGCCAAGCGCGAGCATGAGTTGGTCCATCGCATCCGCGTATCTCATCTCCGTTCCACTCGGTACGTCCTGCCCTTACCCTCCGTATCGACGGACTCGATGAATCTTTCTGCGCGCATAGCTGATGACCTTCCGCGACTGATCCATCACCTTGGACCTCGCTATGCTGGAATCTTTCAATCTAACGATATCATCAAGTACCTTACGTACGAATCGTCCACCTCGCTCAACATCTATATGAGCACCCTTGTATCTAGGTTCCCAGGACCTGCTGGGTTAAGTCCGCTGATGAAGGCGATCAGGGACGGCCTTGGTATTGCAGAACCGTCGTTCGTGTTCGCCCTTACTGCACGAGGTGTCGACGTGGACGACCCGCGGAATTGGACGACAGAGGTGGACGTATTCATGGACCAAAGGCAACCACAGGGACTTGTTTCAGTGGGGGATGTATTCGTGGTGCGGGGGTCCTGCCTCGACGCATGGGTATGGAGGCTTGGTGGGGCATGTGTTCCGTTGCGTTTCATCCAGCTCGCTACCGTGAGTTAGCACGTATCTATCCTTCCGGACTTTCACGAACGTTCCCTTGTAGACCGCACACGAACTCTCTCGGTCTTTAGGCGTCTTAACCGACTCCCTGCGCAATAGCTGGCAAAACTCAGAAGACATGGAACGTCTACGTGAGTTCCACGTCCTCGTAACTTCAGTATGTGCAATGCTAATCAGGTTTAGGTGGCTATGATATTCTTGCGGGAATGCTGAGGGATAAGGCCAAGCTAATCAACGCCACCGGATTTGAGACCCTGTTTGAGTTCCTTGGGCTCAACTTCCGGCACCCTGAGTGCGTCTCACTCAAAGCTCAGATTGTCCTTTTGCTAACGCGTCTGAATCAGACAATCCACCATCACCAATGCAGTCGCGTACCTAGCTTTAGCTCTTGACTTCGAACTCTGGTCCCGCACGTCACAAAGCATCCAGCGCGCTCACCTCGACCACTTCATCACTCTCCTCAAAACGAGCCGACACAAGCGATTCAACGCGAGGCACCGCTACGCCAAGATGCCTTCTTCCGTTGTCCGCAACCTGCTCTTTGTGCTACAGACCGAATGGTACCCGCGCGATATGTGGCAGTACGTGATCGAAGCTCTTGAGGTCGCAGCGGTGGCCGATTTCTCGACCGATCGTGCGATCAAACCTATCATCTCGTATTTGGCGGCTAACCTCCACGAAGGTATGCATCGAATGCGTCCCTTGAACTCGGCTCCCATGCTCACCTGCCTAGCAGATGTTGCCCCGCTTCCGTCTCCACGCTCGTTGGTGTCGCGCATCGATCACTCGCATTCGCGGGAGAAAGCTGAGCACACCTTCTTGGCTCTGATATCCATCTTGCAGAATCCCGCCTGCTATACCAAGTTTGCGGCGGCACTACCCGTCACCAGAATCTGTTTGCTCCTGTTGGGCGACCGACCCTCATCCACCACCGCGACATGTGTCCTTCGCTTGATTGAGATATGTTTAGCCGCTTCACCCTCGTTCAGTCGGAAGTTCGAGCTCGTGAGCGGCTGGAGCATCCTCAAGACCGTTATCCCCGTCGTATGGGACAGTGCCGTACATGTTGCGGCTTTTGACCTCTTGCTCGGACGTAAAGTGGGTTCGGTTCAAACAGATCACATGCGAAAGCCGATCGTCTGCCCTCACCTGGTCCCCGCCATACTCTCAACTTTCCAACACGGGCTAAGGGGTGTCGCTTCGCGTGCGGACGTTTCCGGAGACGCGTCGGACGTCGATAGCCCTGAAGCTCTCGTCGAAATTCTCATTGAAGAGCTGATAGAGCTCCACTCCCAAAATCCGACCTTCCGCCAAGTATTCCGGTCGCAGCAGACTACTCAGATATTCATTGACGCTTACAAGACCTTCGTCCTTGCACTTTCGTCTGCGCCGCATGTTTCTCAACGGGTAATACGAATCCTTGAGAAGGTCATGCACTTCGCGATGTCGCTCGCTCTGGATAACGATGTGGCCGGCACTCAAAAACGCGAGGTGAGTGATTTCCACCCCAGTCAGACATGTACCTCATGTAGAACAGATACTAGATATACTCCAGCAAGCAGAGGGTATTGTCGACGATCGCGCGAGGAAGACAGACGTTGACCCTGAGCTGGTCGTCGATAACCGTTCTGTACGCCGCAGGATAGCAGCCAGGTTAAGCCTTCAAGTCGGGGAGCGAACAATCCAAAAGTCTTTCTCAAGAATCATAGAATGGCGCCGGACGATCATCGATTCCGAGCGCAAGCGCTTACGAAAGAACCTCCTTGATCTGTATGTCGACTTGTGCTTCGTATTGCGCATTGGGCTCTTATTGACGAGTGCAGGCGTGAGCATAATCGCCAGATATCCTCCATGGGTGATTGGGCCACGCCGCTGCTGGGAGAGCGGGGTTTATGGGCTCGTCTCGAAAACCACCGCCGGTGGCGTCTCGACGAGACGGAAGGACCCTATCGGATTAGGTGAGCAATGGTCATCGGGCGGCTGAAGGCGAATGCTGACTGGGGCTAGGAAGAAGCTCGAACCGAACGACCAAGAATTTCTTACTTCTCTTCTCGATGGCCCGTCTCGGGTCCCTGACCTCTCTGCACCAGATGCTGATACACAATCCGTGGTGCAGATGGAACTGCCTCCATGGGCGGAGTCGTATGAGATCTCCGTGACGGATGTGGATGGTATGTCATATACTAAGCTACGTCTCCCTATGTTGAACCTATCTTAGGTCAACTTGCCGAGACAATTGTCGACGACAAACACCGCAGAATTCGTCACCAGCTCGAACCGGGCGACGTTATAGAAGCTGTCAGCACGGTTGCGAGAATATCAGGGATTGACTCGTCGCGTAGGTACCGTCTACTTTCGTTTGAGTTTATGCTGACAGTGTCGACCAGCTGGGTTGCTCATTTACGGTCGAACTCATCTATACATCATGGACGGACTTGTTCAAAACGATGATGGTGAGGTGATCGACGTGCATGATGCCCCAAAACGTCTTTTCTTCGTACCGGGGAGCACCGTGGAGCTTGATGGGCCTCAACGTGCTCAGCGATGGTAGGTCTATCTCGTTGACTTCGTTCACTGCATGGAGCTAACCGTTGGTCACCTCACAGGGTGTGGGATAATATCATCAGTTTCAGTGACCGTACATTCCTCTTCCGTGACGTTGCGTTGAGTGATCTCCTCGTTTTCCGACGGCCTTTGTCTGACTGCATCCTGCAGCATGGAAGTATACTTCAAGGACAGCCGGTCACTACTCGTCGTCTTTCTGAGCAAGCAGGAAAGACAAAGTATGACAGAGCGGCTGTACGAAGTAGTCGCTCAGCGGAGTATCGACCCCTCCGTGGCTGCGACGCCATCAATGGCTCGTAGGACACCCATATTCGGGAAAGTGAGCGCTCGGGTGTTCACGGGCGTCCGCTCCGACGAGCTCGCTACCGCGCAGCGCAAGTGGCAGGCGCGCGAGATCAGTAACGTGGGTCATAAACCTCACGTTTGAGCACCAACCGATCTTCCAACAGTTCACGTACCTATGCATTATCAATCAAATATCTGGACGCACCCCTAGCGATGCAACCCAATATCCGATATTCCGTTAGTGCGCTTTTCCTCGTTCAACCTGCATTCCGGCTCATATCTTCCCTCAGCTTGGGTGATCAAGGACTACACCTCAACACGCTTGGATCTTGCATCACCGGAAACCTATCGAGAGTAAGTAGGACGTCCCTTGCTGTTTCGTGTGGCTCTGAGATGGGTGTCAGCCTGAGCAAACCAATGGGAGCTCTCACTCCTGGACGGCGTGAGTCGGCTATCCACCGTTATCAAGGTCTGGAAAGTATCGGAGAGACGCCCTTCCATTATGGTACACACTTCAGCTCCTCCATGATCGTGAGTGGATTATCACAGCCTGATATGCGGAGCAAATGTTAACTTTGGTAGGTTTGCCACTTCCTTATCAGGCTTGAGCCCTTCACGCATATGTTCAAGACCCTCCAGGTGAGCTCTGATATATTGTCATTTGTTTGGTCTATTGAGAATCTATCAAAGGGCGGTGACTGGGACCTTCCGGATCGGTTGTTCAGGTATTTGCCCAATCCTACGTTTATGCGAGATCTTTTTCACCCTCCGATGCAGTGACATGAGCAGAGCCTATGAATCTGCCTCCGCTGACAGCCGAGGAGATGTTCGCGAACTAATACCCGAGTTCTTCACGTGTCCCGAGTGAGAAGAGCCTGATTCTGCACTCCGTACTTCACACTGACGATGCCATCTGTTATAGGTTCTTGGAGAACTTCGCGAACCTAGATCTCGGTGTTCAGAACACCGGTGAGAGAATACACGACGTCAAACTTCCTCCTTGGGCCAAGCAGGATCCGTTTTTGTTCGTGTTACTCAATCGAGAGGTAAGTTTTGCAAAGACCTTCGAATGACAGTACTGATCATGTCGTTCTAGGCCCTGGAGAGCGACTATGTCAGCGAGCATTTGCCGGCGTGGATTGACCTGATTTGGGGATGCAAACAACGCGACCCCGAAGCGCTGAATGTCTTCCATCCCTTAAGCTACGAGGGGGCTATTGGTGATTGCTTATTGTACAGGCATTATGCACACAGCTGATTATGGACGACCAGATCTCGATTCCATCGACGATGAACTGGAGAAAGAGGCGACCATTGGCATCATTCACAACTGTGAGTCTGCCCCGTCACACGACCCATCATAAGCTTTGGTCTGATATACGGCAGTTGGGCAAACTCCTCGCAAGCTATTCAATGCGCCTCACCCAGAGCGTTATATGCATGGACTGTCGAGTTTGCCGATAGGCAACCTGCATGGTATAGCGGAAGACTATCGTTTGCTCCAACAAAGCCAACGACCAATCAGAGGTATCGTATTCTCTTGTTACGTTGCAAGTGCGACGTCAAGTTGACGACTGCTACGAACTAGATTTAGGTGCATTAGGCCCTGTTCGGGATTTCACCATCGACTTGATCGGGGAACGGATTATACCCTGCGGGGACGGCCACCTCTGCGTACCTAACTATCCACACGAGCAAGTCGAGTGGGGACCAACGAGATTAGGGAACACCGAGGCCGGTAATATCCGCTTCGTCATCGATAGAAGGGTACGTCCGGCCCTTCCCCTTCCTTAACACTCATACTCATCCCCACCGCCAGGTTGTGCAAGCGATCGAGGGCACCTCATGCACCTGCGCCGCTTTCGCTGATTCCGACACGCTCGTCACGGGCTCGAGCGACTTCGCCGTTCGCTTCTGGCGTAAATCTTCTCGGCGGGCCATTGTCACGACGCCAGGAGGCCATGCCCAGCCGAGCCTGCAGTTTTCGCTCGCCCACGTCATGCGAGCACATACGGCTGAAGTAACGTGTGTGGCTGCTTCCAGAGCTTGGGCAATCGCGGTCAGCGGCTCGCGAGATGGGAGTGCCGCCGTTTGGGATCTGAACAGAGGCACCTATGTTCGGTCCATGTGGCACGAGGGAGATCATGTCCATCTAGCGGTCATCAATGAGAGCACCGTGAGTAGTGGTGTGCGCAATCTTGCCTCCAACGCTGACATGGCGAAATAGGGTTACATCGGTACTTGCTCGAGGTCAAAGCTGTGCCTCCATACCATCAACGGTCGACCGATAGTCACCATGGATCTACCAGCGTCAATGACCTCGCCACATCCACCCATTACCTCTATGGCCTTCCTCGAGCGCGAATACCTCAGCGGCGGCATCCTTGCTACTGGTGACGCCGATGGTAGTATAACGCTCAGGACATGGAACGCGGATGACACCCCGGAGGGCGCCAAAGCCCAGTGGAAATTCGTGACGCTGAGGAGTTTGGAAGTGAGGAAGGATCGACACGAGTCGCCATGCATCACTGCGCTGAAATTTGTCGGGTGTGTGCTCGTTTCCTTCTTTCCAACTTTCAGATCATAAGGCTGATTCGCGCTCAGGGAACGCCTTTATCACGGCGAAGACACGGGTCGAACCTTCTCTTGGGACTTACCGGAATGAACGTCGATTTCTGCTCTCATTGCTATCGCCGTCCTCTGTAGAATGATGTACAACAGCACGATCCTAATTCCCTATAGATGCAACATACATTTGCTTCGTTATTGGCTTTATAGCCCTACGATCGATCAGTCAAACAACAAGCCGCCGTCAATGAGGATCTATATTCGTGCACATCAATGCCAATCCCAAGAGCGTGAAGATGTCCTGGTATGTCTTACGCTTTGACCTGTGAGAGGAGTGGCTTGAATTCTCGGGTTGTGTTCAGATATAAGAAGGGAACCTTACCGGTGATGAACTGAGCCTTGTCCGTTACCAGGAAGGAGACGAGGCCTGCGACATCGCTCGGTGTTCCATTTCTGCCAAGCGCTGCGTTCTTCTTCATCTATTCCGACGGAATAAGGCTCGATGAGATGTCGGTCCATGCTGCGATCGATTCTGGAAGCGTGCTCACCGCCTCGATGGCTGACCCCTTCTCCCCGCCGGTTTTCTTGATGTTATAATCGTCAACCCTATTGACTGATCTCATTTCGTTGACTGTCTCATTATTCGCGAGGATTTGAAACTTACGCAAAGGCGTCTCGATGGCACCCGGCGCGTAAGCATTCACTGTAATGCCATATTGGCCGTATTCCTGAGCTGATGGGGTTTCGTTGTAGCGAAAGGGTCAAGGGAGGTTACGGTATGAATCTACCTGCTACCTGTGTTAGCCCGCGAATCGCGAACTTCGTCGCACTGTAAGCTGCCATTTCTGGTGAACCCTTCTTCCCCGCGATAGAACACGGGCCTTGTGGAATTAATAATTACAGCGCTCCTGCAGTATATCGCTGTTGACTCACCGATGAGACGGCCCCCTCTCCCTTGCTTGATCATCTGCTCTGCGGCATACTTGTAGCAGAGGAATACACCGCGAGCATTGATGGAAAATATACGATCCCAGTCATCGACAGTAGCTTCGTGATATATCCCGAATAGTCTTCGATCTCTCTATATCGGAATAATGATAAAACACATACTGTCCACCAGCTTTTTCGTCAGCATAACGCCGGCATTCGCTACCATCTGCGAGATCGCTACCCCGTTAACACGGTACAAGCAGAATATCACGGAGGGTTTCCTAGCACACACCACGTCCACTCCGCCGAACTGATCCACGGCGCATTTCACGAGGTCGATGACGTCCTGTTCCACCGATACGTCTCCCGTAAAGGCGACCGCACGCCTCCCCTGACCGGTAATCTCGCCTAACAGAGAGTCTAGCGCATCTTTGCTCGATACCAGATCGTTCACCACCAGGTCGAAACCGTCATCGGCCAGCTGGACGGCGATCCCTCTGCCGATCCCAGAACCTGCTCCTGTGACTATTGCGACGCCTTTAACGGAAGGCATATGGGACGAACGTGCTGGGGGTGTGGTCTCTCCGAATTCTGTGGTAGCTATTGGCCTGTTTATATACGCTCGACGGAAGCGCAAAGAAGCCGATGACGTCAACTCTCAGCTCATCAAGCGTCGGCGAGGCCGCTGCGGCATGAGTATCGAATCGGCAGGCTTAGGGAAACACGCAACAATTGTGGTCAGATGTACAAAGCATGTTCCGTCGCATGGGTTGTTGGAAGACATGTGTGGGATTTGCGGAAGACATGTGTGGGATTTGCGATGCAACCGGGTATCTTAGATCAGACACGTACAAGAAGACACAAGCGCTTATGCCTCTCAGTCGAAGAAAGTACCGCCGTCTACGGTGATCTATAAGTTTGACGGTTAGCATGATTTACTACGATTGCAACATGCGAATAGGATCTTACGGTTTGACCTTCCGACAAGGCGAGGACCCATCAGCAACTCTTCAACATATAACTATGTTCGCGCTCTACTCACCCGTGATAAATCGCGCCTTCTCGGACGCCAAGAAAGAAACGAATCGCGCGATATCCTCTGGCGTGCCGTTCCTACGAAGGGCTGAGAAGGGCGCTAACTGCACGTACAAGCAACGTCACATCGCGCTTTCCACATGCAAAGTCATATCAGTGAGTGTAGTGCTTACGGAGTCAAGCCATGCTCTCTGTTCCCCGCCGGTCGCCTCGACGACACTGTCGGCTACCCGGTTTACTGTCAAGATCGTTCAGACACGGGACGTGGTCTCAACGAGCTCATGGCGTACGTAGAGGCGTAATCGTAGGCCCTGGTGCATAGGCGTTCACAATGAGTCCGTGTTCCCCGTACTCTTGCGCTTCATGGGCGCACGAAATGGGTCAACGAGCACAAAAAACCGGGATTCCGAGAAGGACGGATGCCTACCCGCTGCCTGTGTCAGCCCGCGAATCGCAAATTTCGTCGATCCGTACGCCCCCATACGCGGAGCGTTTTTCTTTCCTGCGGTCGAGCAAGCCCCTGCGGTGTTACAAAAAGTCAACGGGCAGCCATGGATTAGAGCGGTGCGCGGAGGCTCGCCTATGATGCAACCGCCTCGCCCCTGCTTGACCATTTGTCGAGCGGCGAGTTTGTAGCACAAGAAGGCTCCTCGAGCATTCACCGCGAAGGTGCGGTCCCAGTCCTGTACGGTTGCTGATGCGGCTCGATATTCTGAAGACATACTAACATGATCCCGGGCAAACGCTCACTGTCTTCGAGCAACTTCGGAAGTTCCACACCAGCGTTTGCGACCATCTGAGTCGCGTCGTCAGATGCTGTATAGACGGCGTATCGTGATGAACAAATAACGAGGTAAAGACATACCACGTCCAAGCCACCGAAATGATCTACGGCTGAGTTTACGAGGTTGGACACGTCCCCTTCGACTGAAACGTCTCCGGTGACCATGATCGCCTTCCTTCCTGCGTCGGTGATTTCTCTGAGAACGGCATCCAGGGCTGTTTGGCTCGTAGACAAGTCGTTCAGTACGACATCAAACCCGTCCCCGGAGAGCTGTAGGGCAACAGCTTTCCCGATGCCGCTAGCGCTCCCCGTAACGATCGCGACGCGTGAAGACATGGAAAGTCCGACAGCAAGATGGTTTTCGGAGTCGGTGCACTAGTCAGACCTTATGTACTGCCAGTAAACGTGAGAGTGATGTAAGCTGAATAAGTCAACATGAGCGGTCGCGGAGCCGGGCGTGAACTTCAGTAGGTTAGCATCTGATTGCCAACGCAATCGCGTCCTTGGATACAATAACGGGGTCTTGAACGAGCAGTTATCATATCGGTCGGAATTGCGTCATGGTTGGCGGCTTCTCTAACCCGGTCGAATCGGGGCTGCGAGAGGGGCGCAAAGACGGGCCGCGGTCGACCAGTGTCTTGCACATCGCCGGTTACGGCGAGACTCGTACCGGATGCCGGAAGATCTACGACCTGCATTCCTCTTGCTTGGTTCCGGTTACGGAACGCGGGCAGCCGACACATAGCAGTCGAGCACACCGAACGAGATCCGGGCTGTGCATCTGTATTGTTGTATCACGCGGACGACGATGATACATACTGGAAAACGTCGTACATAATTATCTCCATGTGACGATCTCCAACACTAGTAGAGTCGCACGTCGCAGGACAGAGTGGCAGTTGCAGATCCAGGGTGGCCCTGAGTGTCGGTCCATTGGTAGCGCCTGCATGATGGAACAGCAACGGCGCGGAAGGTACTCCAAAATCAGTCGATTGCCGTCGTAGAGGAGACCACAAGATGATCCCGATGCGAATCGAGGGCCTTGGGGCAGCCGGAAGCACCAACAGCGGGCGATGGAGGTGGTTGGTGGAAGGTCGTTACGCCGGATCCCACATGAGGTCATTCAGCGGCACACCTAGATCCCTAGCCAGCGTCATCGCGCTCTCGTACGATATGGCACTCTTGAACATGGGTGGTCCGTCAAGCTTGTCCACGGGAGACGTGCGATGGAGTAAGCGTATCGACGTCAGCTCCATGATCTGCACACAAGAGGAGATCAGAAACGGCGTCCTTCCATAACGATCCATGAGACTCCGGACTCACCGATGCGTAAACCCCTACACGCGAAATTTCCATCTCGGTGTATTCGCCGGGTACGGTGTACTGCGGCTTGTCCGGCCGAACGTCGGCATCGTACTCTTCAAGTAGAATTCCCAAGATAGCGAGCATGCGATCCAACGGGAACGGCGTCGGTCCCAAGAGGCGCTGCGGGATCTATCGTCGACTCGTCAGAGCAAAGTCTGAAGACATCGCATTTGCAGCACGATGTTACCTTCGCGGTCCCGGCCGTGGCCCGTGGCTTTCTGGTGCCACCGCCCTTGCGCTTCCTCCCCTTCCCCTCCGACACGCGCCCGAACATGCGCATGTCCGTCTTCGCCGGATTCGTCGACGCCAGAAAGCTCGCGACGAGCAGGAACCGGCTCATACGCGGCAGCGCGCGCAGGCTCGCGCTCACGACGTCCACCCTGTCGTCCGGCGCGTCGCGGGCCCGTTTGCTCGGGCTGCCGGGCCGCGACTTCGTGAGACTGCCTGGCTCGTGCGGGCGCGCGAGGAGGTCCGGGTCCGGCGCGTTGAGGATGGCCCAGGCGAGTGCGTCCGTGGTGCGCGGGTAGAGCGCCTCGAGCGCGGCGGTCAGCGAGGGCGTGAAGAGCCGCGTGAGCCGCATGCGCACGTCTTCGGAGGGCGCGGAGAGTTCGATGTTTTGTTCTGCATGGGCGTCTAGGATGGGTTGGACGAAGCCCGGCCAGCGCGCGGCCGAAATGTAGGTGAGTTCGTCTGGGTGCTGGGTGAAGGGCGCGCAGACGCTGTAGAGCGTCGAGACGAAGTGGGCATAAAGGGGTGCGAGGGCGGGGTGATAGGCGTGCGCAGGGAGGGGCTCTGTCGCGGAGGAATTTGAGGAGGCGAAAGCGGAGGATACGGAGGTGAAAGTGGATGTTAGACGTTGGAGAACAGCTGCGAGCGGCGATCAGGAGTCGAGGTGACGATGAGGGTAACACGTGGTCCGTACCTTGTTTGCCAAGTTGTTCAATGGAGACGTAGAAGGGATCCGGAGCGACGCCTAGCGATGGTTTGAGATCCTGCCAATGGTTCTCCGAGATGAAGATGACCGTAACGTCAATCTGCGCCTATGACCTCTTTCAGTTTGACCGGTCAACGCGCATATAGTCAGGCATACCAGTTCAGCCAGCTGCGTGAGCGGCGCGATCACGTCCGGCATCGTCTCCTTCAGCCTCTCCGCCCGTTCGACCGCGACCACCATCCTTATCGCCGCTCCGGACGCTTGCTTAGAAAGGTGACGATGGACGGCTTTGATCCCGTGCGTGAACGCGTCGAAGTTTTCGTTCCATCTCTCCACGTCCGACATCCAGTTCGCGCACCCTGAGTCCCACGTCGGCGTGTGACCCGCCAACGCGTTGATGACCGTGTCATAGAGGAGCCTGGTCGTGAAACACGCGACGGCGTTGACTTGCGCGTATGCGATGCGTTCCGGCGCTTGGGCCTGAGACAGCAAACTCAACAGAGACTTCATCGCGGCGCATGTAAGCCGAGGCGTCGCGGGATCGTGTACGCAGATGAACGGCGGCGGGTACGTGGTGAGAAGTGTGTGCAAATGGTTGAGCATTAGTTCATGTCCTGGGTGAGCAGCGCAGAGTGCTGGAAGTCGGTCGTTCGCGTCGTCCATTATGATGGTGGTAGAAAGTCGGGAGAAAGCTCGACATTGACTTGGTGGGTGACAGTTGAATTTGTGGTAAACGCAAAGCTAGACATCACGCAAAAGCGTGGTGACCGATGTGGCCAAGCCTCATCTCGACCACGACATTATAGTTACGGGTGCGAAATGAACACAGAGAAGACATTTTATTCTTCCACTTGCTGCATACTGTTATCGACAGCCTCATTTCCTTCCGTCTCCATATTTTTGGTCTTGTCCTTCCTTCTGATACTTGCCTTTGAAAAGATCCTGGACCCACTACGCCATGTACTTGTTGACACAGCTCACAGGGAACCAGCGCTGCGCTGCCAGCTCGTAATGCCTAACCGTCCCAATGCATGGATTCTTGTTATATAGGCACAGGCTATGGGGTACGCATAGAATTAATGCTCGAACGGTGACGCTGTTCTGCTCAAGCACTGGTGCTCAAACTTGCATTAGCCGAACTATCAAATATCTGCACCGGTCTCTCGCTTTGCGCACAAAATGCCCCTCTCCGCAGACATAGGAAGAAGATTCCACAGGAGCTCATCAAGTTCTTTCTGTTTCGAGAAACACCCCCAACGACGCGTCGATAGTATAGCGAGGTGCTTCAAGGTCGGGTACCGGATTTTGGAGGAAAGCACCTCGTCGACCGCCGCCCAGTCGAATCCTGGCCAGAGCGATCCGGGCGAGTCAACAACAAAGCTGTCTGAGATGCGCAGGTGAACGGTTGAAAGCTTTTCGGAGTTGACCGCGAGGAGGAAGCGAGTTGCCCATCGCCCATCCCCCTCCGCTTCGCCCGGCTCGATCTCGTCGGCCAACGCACGCAACGTGACCCACTCCAACGCGAGGCCGCATCTCCAGGAAGCGTCATCATCATACAGCGCTATAGGCGATGGTCAGTGAGCAAAGATGCGAAAGGAGTGAGGGACCTTCGCACCGCCAATCTCATCCGGATTCAGAGCCCAGTACACCCCCAACGTCAACTTCTTGAGGCCTTTGCTCGGATGCATGAGCGCGTGGAAAAGCCGGAGATCGACCCAGTCCTTTATTTCCATGTCGAGGTGATCCACGCTCTTGATCATGGACGCTATCACTACATCCTCGGGTTCGTCTAGGCAGTAATCAAAAAGGTCCAGATCCGAGAAGGACCAAGACGCCGAGTCCAGGTTTGAGAGCGCTTTCACCGGACATTCCAGAAAGCTGACGTCTTCTAGGTAAAGTGCACCGCCCTGCGGCATGGAATCTACGATTCGACGAAGAGCGCCGTGAGACGGCAGGGTGCAGCCGCAGATTTGCAGTGTCCTAAGTGACGGAAGCGTGGAGGGTAGGCACGAGGAGAAATCCCATGCGTCAGACATGATGTGCCAGAGGTTGAGACGTGTCAGTCCATGGAATGACGCCATTATGAACTGTAGGGGATCGCGGCAGGTTGAGACAGGGAAGGCCTCCCTGTACTCCTGGATTGTGAACTCCTTGGTGTACTTCGCGAGGTGCGGTGAGTTGAGTAATGTAGCATGTAGCCGGAGGACAGTGTCATAGGTGACTACGATAGAGGAAAAGATATGTTTCTGGCTCCGACCGCTCGTTGCCCTGCAAGCGAGAGAAAGGGCTCGCAATGAGTCTTCCCCAGGTGAGTCGACGTCATAAGTCGTGTCTTCATTTTGCGCCACTGCATCCACGATTAGGTCGAGAATCTCCTGGGGAAAGCGGCGAACGAGGAACATCGCGTCGAGAGAAAGAAGCGCGTTGAGGAGTTGATTGCAATCCCATATCCCAGCCTTTTAAGCATTTGTGCTAGACCAAATCGCCAGAAACGGCCACAGGTGCGTTGCTTGATGGCCGGTGGCCTTTTAACCCGTGCATTGTGAACAATGATCGGCCAGCGAGCTCCCGAAAGAAGTGCATGCTCGAGCGGCACGAGCATTATGTAGTATGTCGGTATTTCGGCGAAGACTTCGCAATTGACCTCCTCGGTGCTGCTGTTGTTGCTAGAACATCATCTACAGCCCTGGAATGTGGAGGTAATTCTTCGTCTCGATAGCCTTGAGTCCGAGAATCATTAGAACACACGGCGACAAGAATTTGCATTGTCCTGGGCCATGAGACACTGCCACCCCGGCCATTGCAAGACAATGAGAGCAAGGCGTAGACGATGAGTACATTGTCGGAGCGCAGAACTTCACACCGAGGGGCTCCCTTACGTTTTCTGGCCTGTGGGATGCGAACTCACAGAAAGGATACAGGGGACCTGGATCGCGTACCATGCGATGTTCGACTCCTCAACTTATCCGGTCCTTCCGCAGCTTTCATATTTCTCGACCACAATCGTTACCGAGCCGCCCTTGGGGGCAGATGCAAAGGGATGATATCGAACGAGTCAAAACATACGTACATGCATATACGGTTAATCATGACGCTTGTTTTATCGGAGCTGGCAAGAAAGCGCTATTTCATTTAACTTTTCTCTGGACGATGTTCCATACCGCGACTAGCTTTCCAGGTTTCGGGGCCCTGTGAGAATCGCTTAAGTGATAGCCAGCGGTAGGTACCCACGTGAGGCTCACCAGGTAATTTTTGGCGCGTTGGTTCTTGGCTCGACGGATGAACCATTCCTGAGCCGTAGTCGATCCTGCGTACTTCACCTTGTCGGACTCCGACATCCTCGCCACCGAGGCTGCGATGAGCGGGCTCTCTTCAGCGAAGGCGCGCAGAGGAACGGAGTCGCCTGGGCGGGTGAAATACACGAGAGACCAGCGTTCGAGCCCGCTTTGCTCTCCTGGAGGTGGTCTTCTCGGTGAACACGTTGTCAATATTCGTTGGCGCAAGACTAAATACCGAGGCTTACACGACACGATGCATGATGGAGGGTAGAGTACCGCCGCTTATCATTGTCAAGGCATCGCCGATGTTGCAGATGGCATGTCCAGGGAGCGGCTGCGAGGAGACGTCGATGCGAGTATGACGGTCGCTGAAGAGCTGTCTTACCTTCACGTATTGCCACGAATCGGTGCCGGGGGCGAGAATCTGTAATCCCCCAAGCCGGTTGTGCAAAATCGTAAGAGATCCAAAGTCCGTGTGGCCTCCCAACGCGACGCGGCTGGGCTCTGTACGAGCTGCGACCTTGGTACACCTTGCCTCGGAGCCACTTGGGGCTTCCAACTTGTGCTGGCTCTCCAGCGTACCGTCCGGGAGACCCAGCTTCTGGCCAAAGATGCGCAGCAACGTCTCGTTGATGGCGGTGGACTTGAGGACAAACGGTTTCAGGACGTCCTCCATGCAGGCATTAACAGTACCGGGATAGGACTTGCGGGCGACAGCCGGGTATGAGAGTACGTCGTCTTTTGCGATAGTGAGGTACTCAATGGCGTCCATGTTGCCGTATTCATCGGTCACATTGCCTCCCGCAGGTTTATACCTGGGTGCGTGTTGATTAGCCAAAAGTGGGCGTACGTGTCGTCAAGGGAAACAAGGAAGCTGACCCATGTGACAATCCAGAGTCACCCCGCTCGAACTTCATCTTCTCTTCGAGAGGCAGATTGATCGTTCTCTTCCCCATCTCGAACATCCCGTCGACTTCAAGGTCGGTGCCGTGATTCTTCATGCTGCAGGGGTGAATCATATTAGATCAAATTGAGATGTGTCCATTGACAGTCACTCACTACCAAACGCCTAACGAGGTCGCCGCTTTCCAAAGATCATCTACTTCCTTCTCGTCTCCGGCAACAAGGCACTCGTAGTCGACAACTGCGAGCGGATAGGTGGGCACATCTTGCGGGAAAGGCGGGAGCATCGTCGTATAGCAGCGTATGAGTACGGAGAGCCATGTTATATATGCAATCAAGGAGAAGCACTGTGGATACCGTTAATTCTGGCAGTGTGGGTACTGGACAGGAAGCACACGCAGCCAAACCTAAATGCAGCCACACAGTCGTACTGTCAACCGAGCTGGATTGGAATCATAAGAAGCAATAAACATAACGCTGCTTTCAAAGTAGTGCAACCGCGGTAACGAGATCAGCGGTCAACCTCGAAGGATCGACGATGGTAAGGCGAGAGCTGTAGGGTAAGACACGGTATATCACGTAATCGAGACCCCAATGCCGGCGGCGGCAGAGTCGGCGACGGATCGGCGTACTCTGAATTGGCAGCTATCTCTTCGCTCATCCTCAGAGGATTTGTGAGTACCAGCGGGATGGAAAGACGCGGCCGTATGCTGATTTAGATTACACCTTTTCTCAGACTGCAGTTCGAGGCATCTCATCCCGCTCACGGTGATTCGACCGACCAAGGGCACTTGGCTCAGAAAATCGAAGACGGATTTCTGGTCACCGCAGGCATAGAAATAGCAGATCATCGTAGATTGCTTTGCAGCCCAAACCATCCCGACGGATCTCTTGTATGGAAGGTTACTAATGCAATATCCCGGCAGGATCTCAGTCTTTTGTGGATATCATATACAACATTGCCGGTCCTCTACTAACGCAGAAAGCTCATCACTCCATTTCCAAAGAGACGCACACCATGTGCCAGTATGGTGCACTGTGGAACGTTCGCTGAGAGTCTTCATGTAGCGTGCGCCAACGCCCAATGATTGATGACCGCGCGCTCCGTACGAAACGCCTTTCCGCATGCCTTACATTCCGGGGCGAGCACCTGATGTTGATCTTCGATGTGAGTCTGCAGGTACCTCGCGCTCGAGAAGTCGCGGAAGTTCTTGCAACCGTGCGGGCATTTCAAGGAAGGCCTGTTCGCGATGATGTGGTGTCGGAGATGGATTTGTGCAGCCGTCACGCCAGTTGCGCGGAATGCACAATCGCGCCAAGCGCAAGCTATGCTCGCCTCGTCCGCCGACTTGATGTACGCGGACCACTCGCTTGGGGCGGGAAGGCATGTCGATGGAGCGCGAGCACGCGAAGATGTGTGAGAACGAGAGCGTGAGATCGATGAACATTGCTGGCGTCCCTCAATACCGGAAGGGAAGGACTTGACTGATTGGGCTGAGATATCATGGCGTACGACACAGTTGTTCAATTGCCGGATCGTATCTTGCGTTGCGGGAATAAAAGCCTGCGAATGAGCGCGAAGGTGCTGATTATCTCGTATGGAGGTTGGGTCGAAGTGTAGAAACTGGGGTGTTTCGAAGTTCGATGGCGCGGAGGGTGCCTGCTCTCGACATTCATGTTGATGATCTTGAACTTTCGATCCTTGGTCAACGCACGAAATTGAGCCATTCGACGAAGGTCCTGAAACATTAACAAGGGGCATGCCCGACGGTTCTTGCATAGTCAGATTTTGTAGGCCTTGGTGCTCCGATCGTTGAACCCTGATATCAGTCGGCCACGCGAAGTCGTCGAACGACTTTGCAGACATGCTTGAAGACACGTACTCCAGGCCCTCGTGGGCGAGCGGGGAGTGAGACGGGTCCAGCGCATAAGGGAGTAGAGACTCCGAAGCTTGAATGCCACCGACTGCCTTAGTCTCGACGGACATCTGGAGGTAAGAGGGCACGTGTTCCTCCAGGTGTTGCCTTATCGGATCGCTATATGGCAACACTTCGGGCGGCCCTTGAAACAGGACTTCCTCGGGATAGATGATCGTCTTGGATCCCCACAAAGAGAATGGCCTGTCCCCGAGCGCGTCCAGGGCCGAAAAGTCGAGCGGGGAGCGTGGCGGGATGCGAGGTGGAAGCGGCGGAGGCTCTTCCCATCCATCGGACAGCTGCACACCTGGCCTAGGCTTCCAAAAGTCCGAAACAAAAGAGGAAATGGCTTGCGCGTATTCGAGCGAGGTAAGTTCGGCCAGCGATGGAGGAGGAAGTTCGTCAGAAGGAGATGGTGGTGTGATTGATCGCTTGGGAGGCTGAGCCCACTCCGCGGAGGGAGGTGGTCTGGTGTACGTGGGGACGAACACCGTAGGCCCGACGATTTGACGAGGAGCCCTCGAGTCGTAGTTCGGACCTGCCCGGACGTTCGGGTCGGAAGACTGTGCGATCGATGAACGCGAGGAGAGACCTCTGGATGGAAAGACAATGAGATGGTGTTCACGTCGAAAGAAATCAGTGGACGTACCCATACGGACAGCCAAAACGGGATACCAGCAGCCCGGTCTGCGTTTCCTGCTCTACGGCGCGGTGATCCCTTTGCCTCGGGAAAGCGCTATCAACGATGAGTCAGAAGGCTTATGTGGGGGAGCACTGAACGCATTCATACCGGAAATTGGTGGGAAAGGGTGTATTGATATCCTTGGATTGCCGGAGGACGGTCGGTCTCGCAGCGACCGCGGGGCCAAACACCAGATGTGCTCCAGGTGGCTCAAACGAGGCACGTACTAATCCTCCCGAATCAATTGAGTAGTCACTGGATGTGAATGTTAGTATGAACCGCGCGATGAACGGTGTGTATGACGCACCTGTGGCGGGCCATGTTCGCAAACAGTCAACAAAGAAGGCTTGTAGAAGGCGCGTTCCAACGAACGACCGCTTCGTTTCGTGCTTTAGACGAGGCAGGTTAGTGTCGTTCAACCGCTGAAGTATGCCTGGAGTGGGTGGGGCTCACGAGTGAGTGAAGCACATCACCGGACGGGCCATTACTTGTACCCGCCGGTCTTTGTGGCCCTCGCAAAGCCAAAGAAGGTGGCCCAGTACGACTGCTCTGGAAAGTCATTGTTGTAAGGGACTTTTTGAGACTCCCGGGAGGCGTGACATAGACGATGAACAAAGTTGCGGCTAAGTAAAGATGGTGGATATGGTGCAACACTGCAACTGCAAGGTGCGACAGCGACGTTTACGCTCGCACGGACATTTCTCCTGACCCGCGTCGGTAGATGCCGTCGGCCGGCAACAGGTGGCTAGCCAACAGCGGCGCGTGAGTCGCCACTCGACTTCGACCTTCGCCTTGCAGAACGCCGTATGTCGAAACCATCACTTACTCGATGAAATAGCATCGCTTACTCTCCTAGATATGCCCCGCCGTTTTCCTCAAGAAATATTAGAACTCATCATCGATGAGATCTCGCACGGCGCTACCCTCAAAGCAACGTCGCTCGTTTGCAGATCAACCCTGGATCGTAGCCGATGTCGCCTTTTCATGATTGTGGATCTCGAAGATACCCCACGGAGCTTCCTGGAAACCCGGATTTCGGGTATTTTGAACAGTCCAAACCGTCTGCAAACCATGATCCGCACATTAACCATCTCATTCAACGTGCCTCACCTCGTGGAGTTGCTCGTCGGGTGTACTGCTCTGCATACGCTTGTTTGCTGCGATCTGGAGTTCCTGTCCCCGTATATTCCAATCCCGGTCATTCCGCATCTGAAATCGTTACAACTGAAGCATTGTTGGTTCAGCTCCCCCGAGTCATTCCATGCCCTGCTCCAGGCTTTCCCAGCATTGACAACGCTCGTTCTAGAGTCTTCCAACTTTGAAGCTTCACACTGGGTGCAAGGTTTCAAGAAGCTTAATCTCGAGCTTCGTTTCTTGAATATTGATAACACCATCAAGTATGTGGACGATTACCGTTTCCTCGATATTCTCGATTTTACGAAACTCCGACATCTCCGACTCGCAGACTACAAAACCGCCGATGCCCTTCCGCTGTTGGGACGGGTTCTTCTGGAGGCTTCTGAATGCTTGGAATCTGTAGCCTTCAAATGTCATTCGGGTGTTTACGGCGAGGTCTCGAGTATGTGATGCATATTCCGTTTAGGTCTCATCCATATTGACTTCATGGACAGATATTCTCCGCCGATGTCTCGCATATCCTGTGAAAGGGGCTTTGAAGAAGGTAGCCATTCACGGGCATTTGAGGGATATGCCCATGATGATTGCATCGCTTCGTGCCCCATTCATTGAGCACCTTGAGCTGGCGAGTGTGACCGCTATCGGCACTAGCTCATCGACGTGGGAGGATCTTGACTGCATGCTGTCCTCCCTATCACAGCTACCTGCGCTGCAAGAGGTAGCTCTCGTCGATTTCTCCCGCGCGTCACTAGACAAGGGGTCTATGACGCATGACTACAGAACGTATCGGCGCCTTCCGAGGACTCTGGACAGAGGTGTTCTCCGTCTACCACCAGGATATAACGAATATGTCAGTTCACGTGGCACAATTGCTTGTAGTTGACCGTCCGTCGATGGTTGTGCGCCTTTGCGGTACATGAAACGGGTTCGTGTGGGAATCAAATCTAAACTTTACAACTTCACTTACCGATTGTCAGCGTAGATCTCTGCATCGCACGTGTATTCGGGGACCTATTTATCTCTTCCGAGTCCAAATAAAATGTGGGGCATGTATATCGTGATGCTTACGAGCCTTCAGGTGGCTTACATTGATCACTCGTCATCACGGTACTTCCGGAATATTCATCATCACGGCACTTCCTCAATATTCATTTGTCCGGGGTTAACGGCACTCGGGTGGTGCGAGAGGACATGAAACCGGTATTCTATTGCAGCGCTCAACTTCTTACGCCGCAAGGATGAATTCCGCAAGCTGAATGGGTTTAATCGCACAACCGTGCTCTCCGGTCGCCGGTTCCGGCTTCGATACAAAGTCTATACCTGGGAGAGCTGACAGAATATCATCGTTCGTGGGAACCTCTTGTGCATATGCTCTGGTTAATGACATGCACCCTCACGTGTTACCGGTTGGCCTTCCGATCGCATATATACCGTCACCAAACCAAGGCCGAGGCACCTCAGACCATCCTGATTTACTTCACCCTGCCCACGGCTTTCCGCTATGCCTAGTCTCGTGCTGCAGACGAATGTGAAGGCGAGTAAGACGATATGGTCAGGTCTGGCTTGCTCGAGACAATCTCATTGGCTTGAGCTTAGCCGCTGATCTCCCCTGGTCTGACTACTACGTATACCCCTTAATAGGTGCCTGATGTCGGAGCATGGGCCAATGAGTTCTCCAAGGTGCGCATTCCGGCTTTCGTGATCTTATATTGGGGACCTTCTTTATTTGTTTAACCCGCATTCCCGCAGCTTTCTGCCGAGTTCCTGGGAAAGCCCGAGTTGTACATATCGGTCAGCTACAACTACGACGAGAACCTCTCTTTCGGGGGCACGTTCGAGCCTGCCTTCCTTCTCACCATCGTGAGTACCGAACCTTCCGGCGTGGTTCCGTTGCGTATGCTGATAAAACGGGAAGACGAGCCTTGACAACATCAATCCGGAGGTGAACGAGAAGTACAGCAAGATTATCTTCGACCATTTCCAAAAGACGCTCGGTACCCCCGGTAATCGCGGTTACGTGTCAGTGTTCACCACTGTTGATCTCTGCGGCGAACTGGGGTTGATCTAACGATTCTCTACGCTGACAGAGTTTTCAACGATCCGGGCCGCGATTTTATGGGGTAAGTTCATCTCGGAATTGTTCTATTCCCATTCACAAACGATACCGTAGACATAAAGGCACGACGGTTGCCGCGATCTTTGGAAATTAGACATGAAGTCTAATTTGACTCCTAGGGCGCCTTACAACGAAGAAGGTTGTCGATCCGCTGTGAATGTTTATCGATAGTCGTGCCAATCAAGCTGCGTAGTAGTGAGTCCAAAATTACTTAGTGTATAGAATATGCGGATATCGTCCCTTCCCGACTCCCCCGAAGGAGGGAGGTGGTTTTTGCCTGGCATGAATGCGCCTGTCCACCCGTCCGGTCCGTGTTCGCGCAAAGATTTAAGCTCCGCCCGTCCTTCCCATGCACATCCTACAACAACACCCTCAGGCTTGCTCGGGCTCAAACCTTTGGCACTCAGAAACTATCATTAGGAGTTAGTTTTAGGGGATAGTTTTAGAGGTTAGTGTCAGAGGGTCAGCGTTACAGGTTAGGACAGGTTATAGCGGAGTGCCTTCGCGAAGGCGTTCAAGTCATTGAAGTGGAGACTCAATCACCATGGGACTCACCTTCGGAGTCGAAAAGGCGACGACAACTCGTTGGGAGATTAACTTCAAGTTTCTGACGGAGTTATGATCTGGTCCCGTTTGATTTCTGACTGGTCTCAGTTCACCACGTATGACTGTCTCAACAACTTTCAATATCTGATCTCAGGATGGCGGATTGTATATACTCACGCAAGTGCTTCTGTTCAAAATACGACAGTGAGCTCACGCACGTCGATCAGAGATGGGGGGGGGCGGGGGGCGAATAGGCTTTTAGCCACTATGGGCGTATTCGAAGCTATTCGAAGGCACGGACGTTATCATGGATTCCTGTATCAACTCAACCTTGAAGCGTATCACTGGGATATTGCACAGCGCGTGGCGGGCGAAGACTTTGAGAGCAAGAAGACACGCATGACGGGCGAGGACTTGCTCAGGCGTGGCAAAGAGGTCACGGCAAAAATCGTCGCGCTTCACGACCCGAAGGAGGCGGATTTTACGATGCACGTCTATCAGTCCTTCACCGAGTACCAGTACAGCATCCATATTCACGGCAACAACACGGTTGCGAACGCGAAGGCCGCTGGGGCACTGGACGCACGGGAGCTGTACCCCAATGTGGAGATGACGAGCTTAAAGGAGTTTGCTAATAAAGGCTTCTATGCAAACCCATTACCCCTTTACGATGATGGATACTGAACTTAGAATTTTGAGCTATGTATACATATATACCTCCATTATGTGTCCAGATCACCATTTGCATGCAGAACCTGATCGTGTCTGACGGACTTCCATGAACTGATTTTTTTTTTTCACTATGTGGCATCAGAGAAACCAACTGCTGCGCATAGGCGTTTCATTGTCCATACTTTTCATGCCACCAGAACCGCCTCAATATTGCCGCACACGTCGAACCGCATGCGAACATGTGGCTGGCGGCCAGTCAGCCATCCGTGCGAGCTCACAGGCTGATACGCGGGCATGGGAGTGGAACGAGTGCTATAGTAGTTTTTTCTCTTCCTTCATGAACGGGTCAGTATCAATGATCGCTGTGACTTGACGGGCGGTGTCTGGCCCGAACCGGGACCGTGCGAGTTTCCGAGCCTTTGTGGTTGACCACATTCATCGTCGCGACCTGAGCCACTCTAAGCCACTGTTGCAACACTATTGGGTCCACTCGCCAGTTCCAGCTGTTAAAAACCGCACTCTTAGGTGAGCCATGTCTTTTCGCAACTGCTCCATGCACCCAATCACCGGGTCTCATGGCGCGCGGAAAGTCCCAGCCGCAGGGGACATTGCGCTCCCGTGCCAGACGTCCTTCTGGTCGGGCACGTACTAATCACCGTCCCTGAGGAGTCCGATCTTCCTCTCGGAAGGACCCGTTCCCATACGCAAGCTCTCCGTTCCGAGCAGTCTCAAGCCGATTCGTTACCCTCCCCGCCGTCCCAATCCGGGGAACCATCGACCCGTCGAAGTGCTCGCATCGCTGACCTACCGCATCAAGACCTAGCCGAAGAGGGAACGCCTACGCCGGACAACCTCCGATACGACCGCGATTACAATCCGACCGAGACTAGAGTTCCTACACGATCTGTCGCCCCAATCACACCTCAGCCTCAACACCCTTACGCGGAGGACCTTAACGCGACCCCAATCGGAAACGTTGGTAGTATGGTCAGCGGAAATACTGCGCGCATGAAAAGAGCCTACGCGGAACACGTAGGCCCTGATGCTAACGAACGTTGCGCGGTCTGCTTCGATAAGGTGTCAGCACGCACCATCCAATTGTGCCACATCATGCCGCGGAAACATGGAGGTACCCAGGTTCGGTACTTGAATTACACCGGTGCTGTATGCGTGAATTGATCCGTATCATTGATAGCTTTTGCGTGACTTGGAAATCGCGTGGCGGTATACCCTCGGAGAGTACAATCGGGATACCCGTTGGGCACAGATATATCGTATGTGCTGTGCCATTGTTATATCAGTCAGCTGATTGAATGTCAAAGTCTGCCTCAATTGGCACTGGGAATTCAACAACGGCGGTTGGAGCATACTTCCAAGCCTGCGGCTACTCGATCGCATCTATTCTGAGCTTAGGGATCCGAAAAAGAGGGAGAAGCGATCCTCGTACTTGGAATGGCGTTCCGTGAGTTGTTTCGCCTGCTGTAGACATAGTCGCTGCTGATCGCGAGGATACTGTAGAAGCTGCGGGAAAATAAGCCCGTACCTCCCGAATATTGTTTTATTCCGTTGAAGATCCTCTCTGATAATCGTCCCGTCGTTCGACATAACGGACGGACTGAAAGGAGGGGTGAAATGACCCGCCTGCAATACGACCACATATGGGAGCCTTACAAAGATATCCCCATCGATCTTCCTCTGCACCCCTTCCCTCTGATCGCTCACTTCAACACTGCATGGTCAATGCTCACCCCGGAGGAGAAAGAGGACGTGGAGAATCGCCTTGACCAGGATCACAGATTACGGGTAGAGGTCGCCCAGAAAATATGGAGCGCGTGGCATCAATGCACCCCCCCACCTGTTAACACAGGTGCGGGTCCAGGCCCAGATGGCGGGCCCGGCGGCGGCGACGGCGGTCCCGGCGGTGGAGGACATGAGGACGGTCCGCGCAGATCGACCAGAAACTCCAAGAAGTCTCAAGGAAAAGGTAACAACAAGAACGGCCAAGGAAGTACCGCCAATCGACCTCGACCCACCGGAAAAAGTCTTAACGATTCCATGATGACCGCCGCAAGCCCCACAATGGCGGACTCGTGTCTGGATTATAGGTTCTTCTCGCACAAACATATAATCAGCATTTGTTCACGGATGCATTGCAGTGCTCACGACACTGAAACTTCAGCGACCTCGAGCGTCGAGGTGCGCTCGGATCAAAGAGATGATTCTTCTCTATCCACCGTCTCGGAAACCGCAGAAAGCGATGACGACGACTACAACCCTCTCCCTGAACTTGCGCCTCGGGTATGGATCGACATCGACGGATGGGCTGTTCAAATCAAAGAGGGCGAAGAGTTCCTCCGCGGTAGAGGCAAACCACCCGCCCCTCCGAGGACTTCACCCAAATGGAACGAGCAGCTCGCGCGGTACATGGAAGAAGGGGCGCGCTCTCCCCCGCATGATCCTGATTGGACGAGATGGGAGGCTGATACGCACTGTAAATGGCAGACCGCTCTCCGCCCTGCGAAACGGCGGAGGACCGTAGAATGATGGCTGCTTTCGTGTACTTACTGCAACAGCCTCGATGACCCCGGGGGGTGGAGTATAATCTGATCCCGTTCGATTTCTGACTGCTCTTAGTTCACCATGTATAAATGTCTCAACAATTCCCAGTATCCGATCTCAGGCTCGCGGATTGTATATACTCACGTCAGTGTCCATCCGAGATGGGGGCGAATAGGCTTCTAGCCACTATGCGCGTATTCGAAGGCGCGGACGTTGTCATAGATTCCCGTATAAACTGAACCTTGAAGCATATCATCCCCATTAGGACCTTAACTCCATTGGCCTCTCACGTCTCTACAAACTTTATAGAGCGCGACCCTGAGAGAACTCTGTCCTCCATTCTTCGATTGAATCCGTACTTGCAATCAGCATGATCCCGACACGGACGGTCATCTCATAACGCGCGATTCATCTCATATACGTCCTGTTGAATACGCGCAGCTCAATTCCGGAGTTTGCTCGGTTAAGCCATAATGCGCGCGCATCCGTTCGTCCGCTACATTCCATTATCGTTGCGATGACGTGCTCCACATGTTATACGTTATTACCTTCATTATAACGATCGAACCTTCCGTTCTCACATGGCTCTATTCGCAGAGAAACCAACATTATACCGTTCCGGCGTTCTTCTCCTGGATGGGCGCGGCAGCAGCAACAGGCGCCGCCCTCTTCGCGCGCGAGTGGGCGAGGTACGCGAGGATGGCCGAGGTGAGCGCGAAAAGGAACGCGAACCAGGGCACGATCGCGATGTTGCGCACTGCAGGATTTGGAAAGTAATAAAAATAAAAAAAATCATTCCGCGTCAGCGTGGGCCTTCACGAAAACAAAAACAACAAAAAAATCGTTTACGAGAAAGGAAACGAAGCGGAGGGGCGAGAAGAGGGAAGAACGAAGAGAAAAAGACCAAAAATCGAGAAAAGCGGCTGCCAAACCGGGACTCGATCGGGCTGAGCAAGATCAACGTCGAGGCGCCTCTGTCAGGCACAACCCAAAAAAGGCGGGCGCGTATCCTCAATGGGGCAAAACAAAACCACCGCCGCCCCAACAAAACGTCAGAACACCAAAACGTCAGAACACCAAAACGTCAGAACACCAGAACACCAAAAAGCCAAACGCGAAACAACCGGATCAGACGGAAGACGCGGAAGCGGGAGACTCACGGTATCCGAGCTTGTGGTACACGCCCGTCGCGCCGAGCAGCTTCTGCGCCTGCGCGATGACCGACGCCGGGAGCGCGATGCCGCCGACGGTCGCCGACACCTTCGCCTGGTTGTTCGCGACAAAGTCCGCGGTAGGCACGAGCGTCGCGAAGAGGAAGACGACGCAAAAGAGGAGCGAGTGCGCTTGGATCGGCAGCGTGCGCGTCGCGAGCGGGAGCGCGGCGGTGCGGGGGTGGGGCAGGAGGAGGAGGACGAGGTAGACGAGCGAGAGCAGGCCGGTGAGGCCCGTCGCGGCGGTGAGCGCGCCGCCGGCGCCGAGGATGTCGGTCGTGTCGATGTTCAGGTCGATGGTGGAGCCGACGGCTTTGTGGAGGCGGCCTGCGGGACCGCGGTCAGTGCGGAGCGCCGTGGAAAGGAGAGGGTGGCATTACTCTTGTCCTTGCGCGACTGTATCAGCGCGTGCAGGCCGAGACCGAAGCCCGCGATGCCGAACGCGAACGAGAGGAAGTACGAGATGAGGCGCGGTAGGCGCAGCGGCGTTGTGGTCGAGGACATCGTCGTGGTCGGTGGAGGAATCAAATTCGGAACGACGTTATGAGGCTAGACTGCGCAAAGTCGAGGGGGGACGACGACGAATGACCAGGGGAGGGGCGGAGAGGGGACGGGGGATACGGAAAACGCTCGTCGGATCGACGACGGGTTGGTGTTCGCGTTTTTGTAAGCTCAGCACGAACCATGTCATGATTCATCCGCCGTCGTGTGAGAGACGCCATGTTCATGTCAGGCGACGCGCTCGATTGGGAAAGGGCGGGTGTCGAAAAAAAGAAGCTTCCAACGTCGCAAACTTGCGTGCGGCCAGAGGCGCGAGAACCATTTGATTATTTCTTCGCGGTGCGGTTGGCCGGTGGGCCTGGGTGGAATGATTCGGGTGCGGATCCGAGCAATGTTCGTGCGTCCGTCATCCGGATCTCGTCAGGTCCGAACAGCGAAAATGGTTGGAACGACGTCGAGCGCGCCCGAGAGCGAAACGTTGGGGAGAAAAAATTGCTGAAACGTCCGGGTTACAGTTCTAGCGGAATATGTACAAGTAGCACATCGACGACAAGCGAGACGGCCTACATACCAAACGTCCGTTGCGTACAACATCCTTCATCAGCAAAACAATCCCTGGGCCGCAGCAGAAGAGAGAACAGGTGACGAGCTCGAGCTTCGAGAGGAGCACCAACAATCACAGAGCCCCCACCAACCCCGCATGCTTCAGGCGATCGATCACATCAGCCGTTCCTTCTCCCCCACAGTCCTGATCCAGATCTCGCCCGGCCGGCTATCAAATCATACCCGAAGCCCGTCAGCACAACGACGTCAAACCCTAACCCGAAGCACGCCCGCCACAAGGATTGAACAAGAAGAGGATAACGATACGGTGTAAAGCACCAGACGAACGAGAAACGACCGCGAATGATAGACATGGATGAAAGATAGAAAAGAAAACAAGAGATGGACTGACCTCCTCTCCCTCAATATCCTAAACACCTTTCTCTCCTCCCACTCCGCCTCTCCATACCGCGGATGTCTCTCTACCCCGCACCGCGCCCTCAACTCCGCCAACCCCTCGTTCGTCCCCTCCGCCTCAACCACCACCGCGCCGTACCACCCTCGATCCACAACGGCATCCGTGCCCGGTATCGGAATCCCTCCCTCTCCTCCTCCTCTGATATGAAACCGCGCACGGTGCACCCACCGCACGACCGTCCTCCTACCCTCCGTCCGAAGACGATCTTGCATCAGCCGCACGGAGCCGCATATCTCGTCCGCCCACGGTCGCAGATCGACGTGCACGATCGGATTCGCCGTCCCCGCCGAGTTGTCCGTATGCGTCCCAGGCGAGGACGAAGGCGGCGGAGCGGGCGTGGGCGCCGGCGCAGATCGTATCACGCGATGAAAGTACGACGGCGGGAACGCCAGCGAATGCAGGTACTTCGGCACGTCCCCCGTGCGCGAGTACGTGTAATCCAGATCCTAATCGCCCGATCGCGGTCAGCGCACGACGCAGCGGGAAGAGAGAGAGAGAGAGGGTCGAAAAGCTCACGATCAAATACGCCCCGTCCCACACCAACCTCCCCACGTTCCCCTCCTCGCCCACCGCAACGTCCCACACCACGTCCCCGACCTTCAACAGCCCCATCCCGCGCATGCCCGCCGCGGCCTTCCTCAACTCCTCCTCGCACCTCACCACGCTCTCGTCGCTCAACCAGCTCCCCTCCCGACTCGGCACGAACACGCGCAGCAGCGCCGCCCGCCCGGGCTTGAACAGCGGCGACCGGAACGCGCCGCCCGTCGTCCGCTTCTCGGCGACGGACTGCGGCGCGCGGTTCGACACGCGCGAGCGCGAGCGCGAGTGGCCCGTCCTCGAGACCGCGTAGTCTTCCGTATCCGTAGGAGACGGCGCGCGACTCGACGAGCGCGAAAATTGCCTTCTTGCCTGCGCCGTCGGCGCCCCTTGATTCGGCGCCCACGCCGTCGGCGGTCCTGCACCCGGCTCGCCGACGGGGCTCTGGACGAATCCGTGCTTGGCACGCACGCGCGCCGCCGCCTCGACCTGTGCCCTCAGCCTGAGCACAACCCGCGTGTACGCCCGCGCGCTCTTGCGCATCAAGCGGTGCACGACCGCGCTCTCCCTCGGCGCTTGCAGGCAGTTCTCCGCGAGGGACACGTAGAGGTAATTCGGAACCGACACGCCGCGCATATACGCGTTCAAGTCCTGCACGCGCGCCGCATGTTACCAAGGAGTCCAAGCGATCCAAAACAGCACTTACGTCAAGCGTCAGCACCATATCCTCCTGCTCACCCTCCCACCCGCTTTCCCCTCCTTCGTCGTCCGCCCTCCCACCCCACCGCACATACCCAACCCCGTTCAGATACCGCTCGAGCACCTCCTCCCTCAGCTCCCTACGCTCGCTCAACGTATCCCTGACGTCCCTACAAGTCGCGAGCACAGCCTGAAAGCTCTCAAAGCTCAAATGAGCGAGCAGCGCAGCGAGAAGCGGCGGACTCGAAACGTGCACCAAGAGCGGGTAGACTCCTGGATCCCGCACGATGATATCCTCGGGTACCGACGAGCGCACCTCCGCCTCCTCCTCCCTCTCGTACGCCGCCGCCGCCGCCGCCGTCGCCGCCGCATCGTCGTTTTCGCCGACCATCGCCTTGGCGCGCTCTACTGCTCCCTCAACATCAACTTGTTTCTGGTCAGGCCCGCTGTCCGTGAACGCTGTGCTTCGTCTCTGGCTTGAGTACCCCGATCCGTCCTGAGCGGCCAAAGAAACGTCTCCAGACGAGAACGCCGCTTCGGGAACGTTGCGTTCTTCGTCTGGGTACCGGTACCGCGAAGGGTAGAGGTGGGTAGCGGTGGTATCGGACGCCGGCGCAGGTGCCCGCTCTCCGTACCACGACGGGACATCCTCGCGGCCGAGCGCGCCCGCATTCAGTGGCGTGACCGTTTCCTGCCGGTCAAACCGCGGCATTTCCCCATTGCGCTGCCGCTGCCGTTGCCCACCCTCCTCGCCCGCCCGCTCACCAAACACGACCGACATCCGCAGCATCGGCGAGCTGTTCACCGTCGCGCCCCCCCTCCCGCCGTACGTCGTCGTGTCGTCCCTCAGCGAGGGCTTGGTAGTAGACGACAAAGCGGTCGCGAACGAGTCGTTGGTCTCAAACGAGTCATCCCCTCCACCGCCTTCCTTCTCGACGCTTCTCTCCGGCTGAGGCGCGGCGGGCGGTTCTTCGTCAACAGTAGCGAAGATCCTCGGCCGGCCGCGCACGGGCATAGCGTTCGGTTGATTCGACTGCGGGTGGTGATACGGGTCCTGCCGGTGGTATGCAGGCTGCTGCTGCTGCTGCTGCTGTGCTTGTCGGTGCGCTTGCGGATCGGCCCACAGGTACGGCGTCTGTGCCGGTGGTGGACTCGCCCGCCGTCGGCCACGGTCGTCAACCATCTGCGTCTGCACGGGCCGCATTGGCGGCGACGTCGTCGTCGGGGATCGTATCTGCGCTTGCCCGTATCCTTGGAGCGGCGGGGACGGCATCGACGCGGGAGGGTAGGACGGCACAAGCGAGTGACACTCCGTCGATGCGGGAGGGTACGACGGCACCAGCGAATGGCGCTCAGACACGTCCGGCGGGGTCATCACGGGGAGCGTGGGCTCGCGCGTATCCACGTCTCGCGTGCTTTTCCGGTGCAGCTTCTTCGCCTTCGGAGGCGGGGACGGAGCCGCGGGCGCGGGCGCGGGCGCCTCAGACTCGGGGGCAGCGTACGCGCTCGTGCGCTGCTGCGTGAGGCTGTTCGTGTGCGTTCGGTGCAGGCGATGAGGTTGGCGCGGGTCGTGGTGGGCGTGGTGAGGGTCCCGCCGCGCGTCGTTGTCCGAGGACGACGGGGCGCCGCCGTCCTTAGGAACCGCCACGGACTCGCGCTTGCGGAGCTTGTTGGACGAGTCGCCTCGCTTGGGTTTTTCCGGCCTCGCCCTTTCCCTCTCCGTGTCCCTCTCCCGCGCGGACTTGTCTGGAGGACGCGGCGCCGCGGGCGGAGGCGCGTGCCCCGTCACCGCCATCCGATCGTAGGCCCTCTGTCTCGGATCGCCAACGCTCATGCGCGACTCTGCCATCGGCGCGAGCTCGTGCGTGTGCACCACCGGGCTTTGGCCGATGACCATGCTCGCGCGGGAGACGTAGAGAGCCGCCTCGCGCTCCCACTCGTCGACGATGGAAGGGGGCGGAGCGGACGTCGCGTCCGGCTTGCGCAGTTTCGTCTTGGACGGCGCGCTCGACAGACGGGAGTCGTCTGTCGGTGGTGGGGGCGATCGCGAGTGGGATGGTGCGGGCGGTTGAGGTAGTGGGTGGTGCCTCGCTGGCGCGACGTCGGTAGGCGGAGGCTGTTGCTGTGAAGGCGGAGGGACAGGTAGCGACCGCGGTGCGGAAGCAGGCGGGGGAAGAGAAGCTGGAGGTGGCATGGGAGGCGATCTAGAAGCCGAAGCCGGAGATGACGGGGACCCCACGTTCATCGAAGGCGATTGAGTAGGTGGAAGGTTTCGGTAACCGTGGGTGGGAGGCGAGGAAGGGCCGAGACGGTTATTGGAAGATTCGTTCCGGTTCGGTTTCGGCGGCGGAGCGGGGCTAATCGGGGTGAACGCAGGATTGGGGGGCGAAGCGGGGGAGGGAATGCTTGCCGGTGACAGTGCGGTAATAGGAGAGTGGACGGATGCAGACGTAGGTGTTGATGCATAACGTTCGTCAGAACGAGGTTGCTGTTGTTGGTGAGGTTGTTGGTGAGGATAAGACTATTGCATCGTCAATACGAGGATATTCACGACGAACACACGAGAACGTACCATAGAAGCCGGGGGTGGAGGAGATTGCGCAGGATTCCACTCGTACATCTGTGCCTGCGCCTGTAGCTGCTTTTGCTTCGTAGGTGACAGTGACTTGCTCTGCAACTGGATGGCCTGCGGCGCGCTATGAGCCGACCGCGAATTGGCGTTCGAGTTCGAGCGCGGGAGATGGGACGCCGGCGGGAGGTCGTCCAGTCCGTAGGAGGCAGCGTTGCGTCCGTGCGGATTAGAAGACGCGGGTTCGGTGATGGTGAACTTCGAAGAGGATTGTGGTGGTTGCGCCTGTGGTTGGACGTACGATTGGTGTTGGTGCTGATGTTGATGTTGATGCTGGGATGGATGCTGAGGTTGAGGCGCGGTGCGTATTTGGAATTGCGGAAGGGTGAGCGTGAACGGGGCGGGTGCGGAAGAGGAGGTGCGTTTGTAAGATGGACGCGTCGGATCGGAGTGTTGCGGGGAGTGGGATTGGTATTGGGCATTGGAAGGGGAGTGGGTCCGATCGCGGGTCGGTGTCGTGGGCGTCCGAGCCGGTGCGGACGCGGAGGGCATCATCCGCGGCGAGCGAGGGCTTTGTGGTGACGGCTCTTCAGGAATTCGGGTGGAAGATGGCGCAAAGGATACGATAGGTTTAGGAGGAGAGGAGGTAGGGTCGGGAACGGGAACGGGGAGGGGCTTGTCGATGGAAAGCTTGGGCGCGTGTCCATGCATTCGCGAACTCTTCCGCACCGGCGGGTTCACGTTCGCAGTTTGGGGCGCCTGTCCTTGGAGGGCGCCATGGCTGACGCTGCGCGAGCCGAGGTCCCTAGGTTGCTCGCCGCTCGCGCGAGCGTACGGCGGCGACGACGACGACGGCGACTGCTGAGCCTGCTGCAGCAGCGCACCGTGGCTTGCGCTCCGTGACCCCAGATCCCTGTATTGCTCTGCACTTGCTCGTGCTTGTGGGTACGCGTTCGATGCCTTCGGCGCGAGCGCCATCGGTCCCGACACTCCCTTGGATCCCGACTGGGGAAGGCGCTCCGCAGAGGCGGAAGAGGTGAATCGGGCGTACAGTGGCGGGACGGCCTCCATGCTCCTGTTGGGCGTCGCGGACGAGTCGCGCGACGACTTGGCGTCGACGTTGGTGTTGCTCGACCGACCACGGAGGAGGCTCTTCATCGTTGCGATCCTCGCTCCAGTGCTTCCGGCGGTGTAGCGACTTGTCGGTGGGTCGTCGTCACCGTAGCGATCCCGTCGGGGCAGATGCGTAATAAAGTGATGAACGTGTATGAGAGCGGGGCTAAGAATGAAAGTGCCGAGAAGGCCGTCGGTATTGGAGATAGAGCGCGGCTGGGCGTGAAGGATATCGTATGCAATTGACGAGCAGGCGGTGTACAATAACTGATGGACTGTCCAGTGAAGACACAAGGTCGAGCACAAAATGCGATCGTATTGTAGCAACCCTCCGGGGAGTCTGGGCTCATCGTTGCCAATGCCGAGGGCGCTATTTGCGTCTGTTTGTCATCCACCGACGGCGTGGTATTCTCCCCTATGTTCGCCCCCTATGTTCACCCCCTATGTTCACCCCCCTGTCGCTGATCGACGTGTCTTGAAACAGATCCGTCTGAGTGTATACCACTCGCAAGACCGGATAAGTGATAGAGACATTCAGACATGGCGACCACGAGTATTGTAGGAAGTCGATTGGAACCTATGCACTACCCTATGTCGCACACTGCAGTCGGATACGTACGGAGAAAGCGACTAGAGAACTGTCCACTATTTCCAGTGTGACGGCGAGGAGTTAAAGAGCGGGTTTGCAAGTAACTCAGCCATTTGCTAGTCATGCCGTCCATCGGCATGGCTACACAAGCAAAATTTATACGATAATCATCGAGATAACCTACCCATCCTAGGGTACAGCGCAAGCATCTGGACGGAGCCCTCCGTAGCAATAACCACAAGCTGACGCAGGATATCTCGACGTGTCATCTATGTGCATCGCATTGGCTATCTCCACGGTAGTCGTACCCCATCTTCGCAGAAACGGGATGCCAAAACCCTCTACCAATCACCATTCATGTCAAGCTTGACGTATTGGGACTTGGAGAGGAGAATGCCCTGGGTCGCGCATCGCGGAAGATACCGGGATAGGTGAGGATGAACCATTGCCTTCTCACAAGTCACCCGGAAGACGGAAACCTCCTTCAGACTCGGAAAACGGTCCGTAGAAGCGAGTGCGCTATCGAGCGCCTCCCAGTCCTCAAGTTCCGTCGAGTCGAGGAGGAAGAAGCTGAACGCGGGCCAGATGTTGAGCGCGATACGCTCGATCCCAGGCGTGCTGAGCGCGTTCACGATTACAGTGGGCAGCGCGATCGACAGATTCCAGTGACGGGAATCAGATATGATCAAGGTCACGTCGCGTAGGCTCGACTTCGAGGCCGTGGACAAGCACTCGCACACTCCATCTGAGCCGCAGCGTGAGTTAGGCTTCCTATCACTATCTGGACAGCGCTCACCAATAAACGAATCCTCATGTCTGGAAATAGTGATTCGCATAGTAATCAGTCTTAGGCCTGCTTCGCAGAGGACCTGGTGCAGCAGCGCGACATCGTTGGTAGAGCTCAGAGTAATGCTCAACTCGGAGACCCTGTCGAGGTGGAACGGCGCAAAGAGGGAGGTCGAGGCCAAGTGGTTCCTAGTACGAGAGACCACCAGTATTTGTAGCGCGAGCTGAGATTTCAACGGTTCTTCTGAGCCCCCGCCTTGGAAAACATCGCAATCGTCCATTACAAGTCGACGAAGGTGGGAGTTTGCACGGATGAAGGTAGAAAAGAGGCCATACGAGCCAAACCTGCAACGCCCGAGGCGAAGACTCTGGATATGAGAAGGCAGCGTAGGCGTAAACGGGTTGATCGTTTCTGAATTGATATATTCGAGGGTGAGTGCCCGCAAGCCCGTACAAACTGCTAGGATGTCCATGTGGTCTGGCCTCGGAAACAGGCGCAGCGTTTGAACGAGCTCCGCGATTCGTTTGTTGGACTTGAGCATATCTCCAACGCCAGCAGCTCTGCTGATTGTGACCGAGCGGAAGAGCCGCCGCTGGCTGACGTCCACCAGCGACTTGCAGACGACGGAGGTAGCCTGGAGTGTGATGGCATCGTCTATCTCATCGATGATGAGATTTATGATGTCCAGGGGGAGACAGGTCATGCTTTCAGGCCGCAAGGGGAGACGAATTTGGCAATCAGAAAGGTGGACAAGTTGACGGTCGAGCATGACGTAATCAAATTCAACATCTCAACTTTTTCTGCCAGGGCATTCACTAGCGCTGCTCGCGCGTAACGCCCGGCTTGAAACTCTCGAGTTATCATCACACAAGATACGTATTCTGTATGACCGCGTCAAAGCTCATGGACGAGTCCGACTTCGTTGGTTTGCCACGTGGCAAGGATGCAGCCTACTGTACGGCCTCCTTGAGTCCTACGGCTCGGGGCCTCGGGCTGTCGCACGGAGGCTCTGTGTACGACCATCCCTGCCAGCGTCCGCCACCGCTTGCTTTCAATCGCCGCGTCGCGTGCAAACATTGGTGGACGGACTGTTTCCTGTAACCAGTTGAACCAGGACTGCGTTAGTGCGCTGTAATTTGCGAAGGCCGCAAATATTGGAGACGAACGGGATTGCGATACGACAACATGCTTCACCCTTCACATACAAGTAATATTATTACCGACGTATCAGAGGTCTCACGAGACCGAACTTCGTCGTCTTGGATGTGCTGGATGAGGTTGCTGATCGGAGTGCGGGTATCCTGCTCGTCCTTCCCCTCCCGCTGCGGACACACGTGGTCTATCACAGCTGCGTGGCATGCATTGTCTCTCGTCGAAAGCGTATTCACGGCAGCTATCCCGACAATGTAGAAGATCAAGCGCATGTTGTACGTGCGCCACATGCTACACGGAAGACCCCAAAAATGGGGCCCCCAATACGTGCAAGAAAGGATTTCACTGTACGTTGATGATCCAATAGAGAGCATCGGATGTGGTCGCCCAACACGTCAAGACGAACTCTCCCATTTTCATGACTGTATTGGTGCGCCACTTCTTCTCCGCGATGTAGCCATTGCTCTTACCACTTCGTTATATATATTAACATTATACAGCGTATGTCAATCCCACTCTCTTTGCCGCGAACGCCCCGCAATTGCATAAGCGTATAACGGGGCCATCGAACCCTTGTACATATGGCCGAGCGTACCCCATCTGCTTCCTCCGTGCATCACGTCGATTCCTTCCGCGGAGCAAACTCAAATCCTGCGCCTTCCAATCCCTTCAACTTCTCCGCTCGGCACCGGGATGCAACGGCTGTGGCAGACACGTCCCGCGGAAGGCATAAGTAGCTTGATCAGAATGCGCCGATATCGAAGTCTGAGCGGTTCCAACTGTATTTGGCGTACTCGACTTCGGGAAGGAGAATCCCCCTTGCCGCACATCGCGGTAAATACTGCGATATATTGGCAAATTCACGTGCTTCAAAACGTTCGTCGTCCACGACCGCGAGCTCCTTGAGATTCGGAAAGGCAGCGAGCGTATCATCGACTGGCACCCAGGCGGCAACCTCGTCGAGGTCGAAGAATCGGTGTCGACGCATCCCATAATCGAGGCGGATAACTTCAACTCCAGGTGCGCTCAAAGCAGCGAAAAACTGTGCAGAGAATGCGACCGACAAGCCGGGGACATCTGCGACCGCTAGATGAACCTCACGAAGCGCCGATTTTTGAGCCTCGGACAGACACTTGCGTTGGGATTCTGCGAGTCAAACGCGATTGAGTTAATTCTTCTAGCTGTTCGTTACAAATATTAAAATCAGACTCACCGATAATTTCATCGCCATGAGTAGCAGGGGTCAATCGCAAGGTAGTCAAGGTGAGGTCCGCATCTGCAAGAACCTTGCGTAAGATCTCTACACTGTCATTCCCCCCGACAACTATACGAAGTTTGCGGAGATTATCGAGACGGATTGGCTTGAGCATGGATGAAACACAGCCGAACGCGAGAGAAACACCGAGCACTCGCAAGGCGGGGCACAGACGTTCCGTTATCGGACTACATGCGCTGGAACTGGTACTATCCGACTTGAGTTCTGCGGAGCAGCTGTCCAAGTACAGCTCAGCGAGTCCAGGAGTGGCGCGGAGGAGAGCGATGAAAGGATCGGATGAGCGGAAGTCCGAGTCGCAAATGTGGAGTTCCCGGATGGACTGGGGGAGCGTGAATGGGGGTTCTCGCTTCTTCAAGCTTGGCCGGTAACGCCGGAGAACGAGTTTGTGCAAGCCTGTGCAAACTGCTAGGAGATCCTTGTACGAGTCTATGCGATGACCGCGCATATTTAAGCCCAACGTTCGGATCAGCGCTGCAATGTGTGGAGTAGAACATAGCATCTGTGCTTTCGGGCTGTTGGAATTCTTGATTATGGCCGATCGAAAAAGCCGACGTTGGCTGGCGCGCAACATCAAGCTGGAGACCAGAGAGGTTGCCTTCAGCGTGGCGAAATCGCGACCGTCTACCCCATCGATGATAAAATCGAGAATTTCCTGAGGAACGCGGGCCATGGACACGGATCTTGGAGTCAAAGAGAGCAGGTCGTGGCGCGATCTTAAGGTCTGGGAGATGGGTAGAGACTACGAGATGTGAGCTGAGGACGAATCTCGCAGGCGGCCATCTCCGAAATATTCTTAGGTAATCTCTAAGGCAGATATATAGGCATTGCAGTTCGACACAACGCATGTTCGTAATTCACCATACTAGTGCATCAGTATAACGGTTTCTTAAGTTCTACACAACGCATGTTCGTAATTCACCATACTAGTGCATCAGTATAACGATTTCTTTGAGCACTTTTACCGCATCCACTCTTCGCCACAAGCAAACCCCTCGCCTCAGCCCTCGGAAACATCATAGCCGTCGCTTTATGGAACTCGTTTGGGATTTCAAGCAAAGTGACCTCTGTCAGGGACGGAAATTTCGCGATGGAGGAGAATGGGCCATCGAGAGCACTGCAGAGGAGAGGATTGAGACCACGAGAATATGGTGAGGGACGTGCTGAGCAATCGATTTCGATGTGCTCAACGTGAGGGGCACTGAGCACGGAGAAATCGAAGAATCCATCTGGCCAATTCGCTGGCTGGTGGCGGCCAAAGAATTCCTGACAGAACCCGACGAGTGTCATCCGACGCAACGCCAACATCTTGGCCCTAGAAAGGCAGTTGTCAAGACCCTCTGTAACATGATGATACCCTTAGAATCGATGCAGACGACTTATAGATGCGGAGCTCACGTAGCAATCGCTCGTCGGGATTGTAGAGGTCAATTCGCAAACTGGTAAGCACCCGATCCGAGTCCTTCATAACCTTCTCCAGAAATTCAAGGTCGGGTGCAAACGTTATCTGTAGATCAAGATTGCTGAGACAATCCGTACGAAATGCACTGTATAAAGAGGCGTTGACTTGGGAGATGCCGCCGTGGATGCAGACCAGCGATTGAATTTCGACAGGAATAACCTCGATCTCTCCTATATCAACGTCCTGTCCAAACGTGCAGCGATCTATGGCAATAGCACGCCGATCCTGACACCTGTTCAGAAAGGCGGCCAGAGAAGCATGGGAACCGAACGTGCAGTGCTCCAGATAGAGCGCCTCGATGCCCGGGGGAAGGAATGAGGAACAGAGTACTTCAAGCTGGGAGCCCTGAAGCCACCTGAGGCCAAGTCTGCGCAACAGGGTGCAGGCTGTGAGGGGTATCGTGAACTGAGTGGTTTCTCCAGAGTCACTCCAGCGTGCTCTCAAGACTAGAGTACGAACGTAGCTAGAGATGCGCTTTGAGCTCGAGAGCAGGTTGCGAACTCCTTCGGCTCGGGCGGGCTCTTCGTAGTCGATATAAACAGTGTCAAAAAGGCGGCGTTGATTGCAATGCGTGAGTGATCTACAGAGGAGTGACGTAGTTTTGAGAGTGTTGATGTCTGACACCTGATTGACTATGAACTCCAAGATCTCCTGAGGAAACCGGGCCATATTGAATGCTATGAGAGAAGAGTTGCGTTGATTCACTGGTAAGGTACCAGTAGGGGATCCCTGGGACTCTGATATGGCGCTCTTACCTTGGTCAGAGCTGTTAACATTGGCTACGGCGTGGCGAAGTCCCTGGTCATCCGTCATAATGGCGGGTTCTGTAAGTCTGTCAGTCATGACCTTCCGGGAGAACAACAGCGAGACCATGCTGGGATGTGACTTACGACTAGCCACGAGGTGCGAGAATTCCGCGCTTGCGGAGGTCGTCTGGTGCTACAGTAGCGTTTAATGTTTTCCGGTGCCGGGGGTTCAGAGGGTTGCCAATCGCTAGGAGATGAGGCGACAGCAATGCGCAGTGATCGTGCTTAGTCATCGCCGGTGTTTTCCGCATCTGCTGCAATGAGCGTCACACGCGCTACTGGCTCCGATTCAATCCTCCGTGTGTCACTGCTGGTGACCACCTTTGTCATACAATCTCCGGTACTTGCCTGCAACGCACGGTGCATAAACGACGACAAGTACATTGACATGCCTAGCGCCTTTCCAGCTATGACTGACTCTGCTCTTGTCATACAATCATTGACAACCTGCGTACCCGCGCTTACACGACACCCTACAGCTTGTGTCATATAGTTGCCGGCAGTTGATTACCACACGACCGCAGGGTAGCGTACGTTGCGTCCTTGATTCTGTCATATATACTCAACAATGAATGACTGGATCTGAACGCCCGTGTCATACATGTTGCGACCCATGCATTCTCGCCCCTGTTGTACATATCTCGGCAACAATTTCTGTACTCCGCCCGCCTCACCCGCGTCGACCAGTCATACAAATTGCGATACCGCTACTGGATTTCGCCACAGCTCTCATATTGCTCCAGATTGTAATTTACTCGCCGCCCTTCTGTCATACATCGCCCGTGTCATACATGTTGCGACCCATGCACTCTCGCC